TGGGGAAAAGAGGCGGCCCTTTCTTTGTCAAACAAAAAAAAGTAACCTTGCTCAAAGTCCAACAAAGAAATATTTGCAGTCATCTTACTTGACAAAGAGTAATGTGTTGACAAAGAATGTATCATTCATCAAATGGAGTTGAATAGCTTTGCTGACATTTTAAATCCTCAAAGTGCCTTGAAAGGAGGATGTGTTTTTCGCAGAAGGGTTTTCACGGAATTTGTTTTTGCTTTTTTAATAAAAGATACAATAATACTCACCCATCAAGCTCCGCTGTTTCTATGTGTTTTTCACAGAAGCATTTGTTTTTGCTTTTTTAATAAAAAAATACAATAATACTCACCCATCAAGCTCCGCTGTTTCCACATAGCACAGGCTGTTTGGGTTTGAGCTCGATAACAGCAACATGTCCACAACATGTCCGCCTAGGCAAAACAAAAACAACAATAGAAGCTGACACACTGGACAAGTTGTACAACATGTCTTTGCAACACACTTTGGAGTCAGAGTCCATTAAAATTCTTAAATTGAACAAAATGGTGGTGAGGTGGGTTTGAGAGAATACACTAACACGCTGGATTATTTCCGGCAACCATAATTCAATATCATTTGAATGAATGTGAAACTGTAAAAACAGATGATTGCAGTTTGGATAAAGAAATGAAATCCATCAATTGATCCAGATCCATTTTCTAGATCGGTCATCCTCATTAGCTGGAGACAATCCCAGCGGACTTTGGGGACACCCTGAACCGGTTGCCAGCCAATTGCAGGGCAAATGCAGACAACGATCGTTCGCACCCCCACTCATGTCTATCCTAATTTACACGTACCGGAATAAAATCATTTTTCTTCAGACGAATGACGTCCCCGACCTCGATGTGTCTCCATTTTGACTCTTGAAACCTGAAGAATAAACACAAAAACAGCAGGTTGTTGCGAGGTTGTCAATAGAAGATAACAACAGCATATTTGGATCTCCAAGGGAAACTGAATATGCACGAAATAGCAGCGCTTTGAGAAAAACGCGAACCGGTATTTTGAACAACCGAACAATTTAAGGCATGCCTTTTACTCGGGCGTACACTTCAATTAAATATTCAGCAAACATCCAAAAGTGAACGGCAAGTTAACGTGAGCGAGTTCTGACCTGCCGTCCAGCAGGACCTCACATTTCCTATTATTAATCTCCTTGTCCATCCTGTGTCGAGCCTGAAAGGTAAAAGCAAGCAAGAGGGCACGTGACTTCAAGAATATAACACAATAACCACATTTTAGAAAATATAAGTCTCAAAACGAAGCTCTATTAATCCCCCCCCCCCACAACAGGACAATGAATTTCAACCGGTTATTTGTTGCTCTCTCCTCACAGATGCGTTCTGTAAGGGTTCAATATTGTTTGAGTGGGAAGAGGGGGGTGCTCGGCAAACTGCTTTGCTTACAAGATCGTCCACCAGGTCTTTGACGGCAGTTACTCCCAGAACCACGACCAGAGGAATCAGAGTGGTGTACCAAGGCAGAGTCGTAATGGCCGGAATACACTACGACGACAAAACAGAGGCGTTTATTCTGGCAGGGATAAACCGCAGTAGCATTCAATGTACATCGTGTCCACAATTATCCTGCAGTTAAACCTCTGACGCCATGCAAAAGGATTTTCATGATGATTCACTTGTTTTATTTTTATAATTTTCCGTAATTCCGCCACTGAGTTGATGTGTACCTGAAGAATGAGCAGAGCCAAGAAGTAGATGTTGGCGACTCTCTTAAACTGTTCGTACAAGTTGAGGGGAAGGAATGTGAAGACGTTGTATTTGTACGTCTTGATGACATTGCCCTGTAAAAGTGAAAAAAAAAGGTTGAGTACAAAGGCAGGAAGAGGAACTTTCCATACCGATACAACAGTGATGACAATTGTTTTTTACGACCTTATGACAGTAAAAGACTTGCACAATGGTTTGAGTACCGTAAGCTAATTATCATGCGGAACATTCGAAAAATAATGTAGCCAACTCTTTGTTTCGTCATGTCTTGGCCAAGAGTCATGATTTGTGCACTTACTGAGTATCTGCTCTTCTTGAAGCACAGGAATACTTTTTTGTCAAATTCTGGCAGGTGATGGTAAGCTCGGTCATTGGCTTTCACTTTCCAACCAACCTCTACAGACAGAGTAAAATCAGAACATTTTAGCGATTCCCTGCATCATATTTGGATAACGTTGTCCGAAGACAACAAGAAAATGTGTCTCATTTAGTTGTAACAATCATCCAAGCGATTGTATGCCTCACCACTTGGTCTAATTTCCACGGGGGGAGGCGGGGCCCCTGGCACCGGCTCCTCTTCCTCGTCCGTGCTCACATCCAGCTCATCGTCTGTCTCATCATCGCTGTACGGCATGACCTCATCGTTGGGCCCCACTGACCCGTGGGTGCCCGCGTTGCGCGTAGTCATTTTGACACTGCCGATATCTCTGCCAACGCAGAAAGGATTCAGATTCCTTAACGCTGTTGTGCTCCCAGCAAGTAACAACTCAAGTGCCACGGGTAAACAAACACTCTGTTGCCCCCATCCGAAAGTAGTTGAGGGTAGAAAAAGAGCAGCAGCAGGCTAATGGACATGGCTCGCTGAACTTGATTGGTAAGCTGCCTCTTGCATCGCCAAAGACGCCCGATCACATTAGCGAGGCATAAAAACATTCGTTGCAAAAGAAAAGCTTTCAAGCACACAGAAGATCGTCGCTCTTGCTGACTATTGGTTTGTGCTATGTGGCCCCGAACGAGACGGCGTTTGGGTGATAAGCCCTGCCTGCTCAACACCATTACAAACTACGATTGACACATGGGTGTCATAATTGGACTATGGAACTGAGGGATAAGGTGGCCTATTTTCTATTCGGGGCCAAATACCTGCATGCTATTTTGTATCAAGCAACTGAGATGGACAAATGTGGATGGAAAAATGCTAGTTATTTAGAAATCATCCAGTTGAGCTACATACCACATGTGAGGACAAAAACAACATTTCCAGATTGTTTGAGAATGAAGGCTTCACTTGAAGCGCACACCACACCACTGATACTTCATTTAATGTGTGAAAACAAGAAAACAAAGAAACGATAACAGAGTGCCATTCGTGTGACATAGCTTGTTTTTGATGTACACTCTCAAAGAACTGGAACGTGATGATACAGTCAATTCAACCAACTGATGGAACCTGTTGGGCTATTGAGAAGAATAAAGAAATGTGGAGCAACGTGTTGTTGGCGTAGTTTTGCAGCTGGGCATAAGACCTGCGGGTACAAAATCATTTTAAAACATAAAACTATTTCATCTGTGGCATCACCCGACTCAGAAAACAGGTTTGCTGGTATCTGGCCAAGGGACGTAACTATGGCAACAATGAGGGAGGGCGGGGTAAGTGATCTGCAGAGTGGGACAGAGGAGAGCATACCGTAGTGACGACAGTGAAACCTGAGAGTGAGTGGGGGGGCTCAGCTCTCGTTCAGGCAGGTACGCCAAAGAGCAGAAAAAAATGAAACGTCACACAAAGAGTGACACACAAAAAAAAAAAAAGATGCCACTCAGTGAGCAAATAAAAGGAAGGAATCGCTTGCCAGCTGACATGGGCACTGTGTGACAGCACGGGACACGATTTGGGTGGAATCACCTTCGTTTGTTCATCAAACAGAAAAGGTGTTTAGGTGGAGATTAGTCCGGATCATCACGGAAAGCCTCGCGGTGAAATTCCTGATGTCTTAATGACTTCAAGACATTATCGATGAACAAATTAATTCAACGTGAATGACAAACGATTGATTTAATGAATATTAACATAGCTTATCTCCATCATCACTTGGTGGTTAGGCAAATGAATCAACTGTGTGCTGGATACATTAGAAATAATTTCAACTCAATTCAATTTCAAACCAAGTTTAAAAAATATTGATTATTTATTGCTGAGAAGAACCCTGTTGAAAAATGTGAGAATTTTCATGATTTATCTTAATTATTTTCATCAGTCCCTTCACCGTTTGCCATGTAGTTTCTTTTCGCCATAAATCAAATAATTTTCAATGGGAGCTCTTTGCGCGGAAAGCACAGACAGGATTTCCCTAATCAAAACCTTGGCGCTTTGCTTGTTTTAGGTAAACAGCGGGGCAGGTGGCTGAACTGTGTTAAGATAAAACACTCTCCTGGACCTTGCAGCATTTAAAGTGTTTCAACAAGTGACGATTACAGCTTTCAAAACGTGTTTCTATTTTTGGTGTGTGCTGTGCTGTTTTAAGAGATTCTGATCGCCGATTACAACGTCTTGTTGTGACTAAGGAAGACTTGTGCAATACAATGAGCATTCTTTGAAACTAACATCATACAGGCTATTGTGAGGTTTGTATTAGAAGGCACTGCGGGCTGATGCAGACGAGTTGGAAGCAAACACAACAGTATTGAGACATTGAAAAATTATATCGACGGGAAATTCAATTGGAAGACAATCGAATTGACCCGTCACGCAACCCCGCTTTTGAGTGTATAATAATTTCAACACTTCTGGGGAGACTTGCTACAAGATTTTGGAGGTTGCCGGTGGGAATTTTTGTCTAGTCATCCAGAGGAAAAATTGTGATGTCACTGCCATTGAAGCCGAAAGAAGACCTGGTTCACCTGGTTCTGTTCTCATTCATCCAAACGGTGTTTGACGGGGCTTGACGTCAGGGCCCTTTCCAAATCCTGCTGGACCAAACTCACTCTAAAATGCCCTTTGGGTGCAAGGGCGCAGGAACGGTGAAAGACAAAAAAGGTCTTCTCCAAGTTGTTCACGCTATCTGTTAACACCATACTGATAGCGTGTTTTGGTAAGAAGAATCGGAAATACAGGGATGTTGTAGCCGAGAAATTGCACACGTTCTGCTTGAAGTGGAAACTCATCACTCATCATGATTCAGGATGAATTAGAAATCCCTATTTGGTTGAAAGGATTTGATGATTGTTCTCAGATGTCAAATGTCGATGCACTGCTGTAACTAAATACCACAAAAGGTCAAAATACTTTCTTTGAAAGAGGCATTGATTTTTCCTTGTGGTCATTTGTAGTTACAGTATCTGTTCAGTTTGGAAATAGACACTGCAACAGTAAGCTAAAGAAATTCAATCGACGTAAAATCCTGACATTTCATATTATAGTGCTGTGTTTCTTCAATGGATAAATTCATTATTGCAGATACATTTTGCACTAGTGTGCAACTTTACAGCACTGTGCTGCGTGGAAAAGATTTTGCTTGTGTCATGTGGCTAAAAACACATGGATTCATTCCCAAATAGTCCATTGGAATACTTGACTTGAATATCTTATCAAATATTAGCATTTGCAGTGTGTGCCTTTATTACAAGGAGTGCCCACAATTAGTGTGGGAGAAAAAAAATATTTGGATTGTTTAGACCAGTTTTAGGAAGCACATTTGTGGTTTGATATGTGATAAAGGAATTCAAACTTTTTCTTTGATTCAGGCTCAGTCACAACTGCACACAATTCCAGTTCTGAGAGGGGTAAATGTAAAAAAAAGCGCACTGTACTATGCTTTTGCTTTTGACACGCATAAAAGCGTGAATGGAACAAGAGCATTCGCTCAGGTGAGGCACTGGCACTCCCTTCCAGGTGTTTGAACCAAGCAACTCTTCAACAGCAACCTGAAACTGACCAAATTAAAAAAAGGTCGATTTAAGATTATATTAAACTGTACTTACAACGTGTTTTTTCCTGCTGGGTGGTCACAAATACTTTAAAAATATGGAAAAATCACCTCTGCGTGTGGTTGTCCAGCCGTTGTGTCAGCGCACCATGTTTCCTTCTTCCTGCTTGTAGAGACGCTCCACGGCACCCGCCCTTCCTCCTCCCCCACGCAACCTTACCTGCCCGGCCCTCGCGAACCCACGCGACCGGTTTGACACGTTCAGGGACTGCACGAGCGGCCTCTTCGGACGTGAGCGCCGCGCAGGTGTAGATGCTCGGAACATGTCACGTGGTACGCCTGATATTGATTTAGTATTCTAAATTGGAACCCTCAATGAAAAAATAAACACTAAACGTGAAGTATTTGGACATTCTAAAGCTGACAGGATATAATATGAGCCCGAACACGCTTATATATATACAAAAAAAATGTAAATATATTGTTTATTATTTAATATATCAAATGTATCAAACAGAGGAATCCCTCCATCCATGCTAATGCTTGTATTGGTGCCATGTACGTCCCCAGGCAATGACATGAAAACCCACCAAGAGTTTCAGTACGAAAAGCTCACATGATAAAACAAGTTCTAATACACACTGAGTTATTCAATATGTGTATCATCAAATTTTGTGCTAAAAAAACAAACAAATAATTGGCACAGATTTACTGGAATGGTCCATATGAATAATATAAATAGATAAAACAACCTGTAGCACTTTATTTAGAATAATTTGAGAAAATGGCATGCACAGATCTTTTTTCTTAATGCATAGTCGTAGTATCGGACATCTGTATCGGCAGATACATAAAACCAAAAACTTGGACTCGGGTGCCAAAAAACATGATCGGGACATCCCTATGGGCAATACAGTATGCTTAAATTAAATTCAACATCTGATCTGCCTGGTGGTGGTGGAGGGCGGGTGGAGCAGTGGGAGATTTTTTTTCATTACAGTGTGAACAATACATTAGAAATAAAATTTGATTGACTACTGGGAAATATTTGAAACCTCTGTCAAAGCTGGTTTTATTTTCTGTGTTGAAGTACTATAACCATTTGCTCTTGAAAGGATGTTTAATCGTGTGTTTCATGGACATCCAAAATATTCCAGAGTTTAATTTGAAAGAGGGGCTACATCAATCTCTATTACAATGTTGTTTTCCTTCTTGAGTTCATAATCAAAGCAGTTAATCGTGAATTTAACCTCAATCCTGAATCTGACTGCGTACTGTATGAGTTTTGAAGCCACGCACTTTTTAGCATGCATTTAAATCGTTGTATGTTGTTGTAGTTGTAGTGAAAAGTTGCTCTTTATTTGCTTTGTCGGTGTGTTGGTTGACTGGGCGTGAGCTGTTGCAGAGAGCAGCTCCTGAATGACTGTGCAATCTGTTACTGCTTGTGGTAAAAGCAAATGAAGAGCTTCTGCAACCTTGTCGACCTATAAACACAAACGAGGGCGTCACAATACTAAATGGGTTGCTCTGGCTCTGTTGAGTTATTGTGAGTCACTATGTTAGGTACTAAATGTATATTTTGTTTTAAGCTTTGGCCCATTCCCCTGTTTTCAGTGATGCAGTCTCAGGTGTGGAAAGTACGAGTTGGCATGTGGGACCGTGAAGCATAAAATAGCATTGCATTATGTGTTATGTGACAAACTACAATACATTTGCAAAGTCCCACGAGTAATAAAACAGAGTCATTTTTTTGGAGCCGAATAACAGTTGAAGTTGCAATAAAAATTGAACACAGTCACGAGTCTTATCAAGACGACATAACAAGCGTATTGATGTGTTCACACTCCAATGCTTTAGGCGGCGCTAATATTAAAGTGAAAGTACGACTGCGTTAAAACAGGCCACGCCCTGATCCACTCCTATTGGTCAATCAGAATGTCACGTGTCGAATCACTTGCGGTGTCTGAGAGCGCCTCACGAATAGACAGCCGATTTGAGCTTACTTTTGACGCTAAGCTCAAAACACAACAAAATACTTTACAGTAATTAAGTGTAATCGTGTTATTCCAGGAATAATAATAACAAGGCCGCGTCTCTCATTCTACCATGGTCGGTGTTAAAGTGATCGGTAGCGATCCGGAATTTCTACCGGAGTTGGCGGCCGCCGGCTCGAGGCTCACGGTGGTAAAGTTCACAATGGCCGGGTAAGTACCACGTTGGAGGCCGTCCTACAACCAGCTATCTCTCTTTATGCAAATTAGTTGGTTACGAGTGGTCACCATTAACTGTTTGGAATAAATGGCATGAGCGGTGCAGATCAATATCTGAAAACAGTAGCTTGTGTGATGTATCTATAGGTTAGCATTATGCTAGTGTTAGCTTTTCGAGCGGACTTGCTTGCAATGACATGGCACAATTACGGTTCTTCCTTGTGAAATCCAATGGTGGGTTGGCTGATATAATGTGTGTGAAGAAGAGCGAATATGATATTGGATCAGCGTTGAAACGATCAGTAGTATATGAAATTGTCCATTTCCCTCAGTTGTCCAGTACAGTATTTGACTGTAGGCACTTAGGAAACACATTTCCTGTGTTTACTTGCCAGTCATCTATCTATTCTGTCATATCATACGTGTTGAGTAAGAGTAAATTTCTTGATTGCATGATGACAATTGCCCGTATATTTTAGTCAGTTAGCAATGATTCTAACTCAGTTGTTGACATAGATAATAATACTCCGATTAACTGTGTCAGATACTCTGATCTGGAGAGCACACATACAAGACAGTCCAACTTTATTTGAGCTGGAACAAAATACAGTTCTGCTCTATGCAAGATGCATATTTTGCTGTTGTTTTGTTGTGTTAAGTTACACTATTTTATCAATGACTTGAGCACTTCTGTGTGACTTGATCAAGTTAACAGCCCATTCTGCTTACCCCTCAGGTGCCGGCCGTGTGTCAGAATAGCTCCAGCGTTCAACATGTTGAGTAATAAGTATCCACAGGTTGTCTTCCTTGAAGTTGATGTCCATGTCTGTCCGGTCAGTCTGATCTCAAACACGCAAAAGCAATGAAACATTGTGTATGTTTTTTTTTTTTTTTTTTTTGAATGATGTGATGTAGTGAAATGATGTTTTTTAAATGTGTGATGTTTACGCATGCAATAATTCAGTTTTTACTGTAAGCATGAAGTTTGCAAATATTTCACTTGTTCTGTCATTATTATGTCATTTTGTGGGAAAAAAATTACACTTTTAAGGTGCAACTCACATGACTGGTAGAGTACAATCAATTTTGTTTTAGGATGGTTGAAAGACAATTTTATAAAAGAGACTATTTTGCCAGGTATTAATCAGGTGAATAACCTTGCGGATGTAGAGGAATAAAGAGATTGTACTGAAGAAAGGCAACCATTAAGTTATATGACTGATCAATCTCTTTCTTTCCTAGACGACAAAGGAAGCCAACAACATATCAGCCACACCGACGTTCTTATTCTTCAGGAACCGAGATCGGGTGGACCAGTATCAAGGAGCAGATGCTGCGGGTCTGGAAGACAAGATCAAACAACTCACAGAGAATGATCCAGGAAACAGCGAGGACTCTGACATTCCAAGGGGATATGTAAGTGAACATCACTTTAAAACATCTAAACCAGGGGTCGGCAACCTTTTACACCCAAAGAGCCATTTTGACCAGAGTTCCACAGAAAAGACAACACTGGGAGCCGCAATGACATCGAAAATGACAATGTTAGCATCAATCTATCTATCGATCTATCGATCTATCTGTCATTACATTTTATTAATTAATGAACACATTTTCAGCTTTTACAAAAAAAAATTTAAAATCAGTTTTGGCGGGCTATTGGAAAGTGTGATGCCTATTTTGAATGAAGAGAAATAATACAATGCATAAATAATTTGATTTTAACATTTTGAGATTGCATAAAGTCCCAAGAAAGAAGGTGTGGTGTCGGAAGGCAAACTAACAAGGTCAGAGTGTAGCCAAACACTGCATTGTCATAACATAAAAAAAATGTCATATGAACAACACACTTCCTTTTTCATTTCAACACTGCCACCTTGTGTACAGTTAGAGAACATAACAGAAGTGATCCGTGTTTTTGAGAGAAATAATCAATAATATACACTTCCATCTGACACTTTTAAATTAATTTTCCAGGCCACGCAGAGCCGCAACATAAGGATGAAAGAACCACATGCGGCTGCAGAGTCGCGGCTTGCCAACCCCTGATCGAAATTGTTCTATGACAAAGTTGCAGTGTTGACTAAATTACAGGCATTTAGGTTGACTTTCAAATAAAGCTAAAATGCAGTATAGTACTTGATTATATTTTCAGATGGACCTCATGCCTTTTGTCAACAAAGCCGGCTGCGAGTGCCTCAACGAGAGTGATGAATGTGGATTTGACAACTGCTTACTGAAAGATTCTTCCTATCTGGAGTCAGACTGTGATGAACAGGTAAGGGACAAAACAGACAGCAACCAGAGTAGGGTTTGGCGATATATCTTTATGTATCGAAAATCGAGATCCAAACATCCATATGTTGTTTGCAGCTACTGATAACCATCGCCTTCAACCAGCCTGTGAAGCTCTTTTCAATGAAGCTACAGTCCTCAGACTTTGGTGAGTCTTTTTGCATTGATTTCGACTTGAATCAGTTCGGCTGTTCTCAAACCTGTCTTCTTTTCTCTTAATCCTTCATCTCTCCACCCATGCGAAATGTTGTTTCCCTTGTTTGTGCACCAGCCCAGGCTCCTAAAGTGGTTAAGATATTTATCAATCTCCCGCGCTCTATGGGTTTTGACGACGCCGAGCGAAACGAAGCCACCCAAACTCTGGAACTGGCAGAGGAAGACTACAAAGATGATGGAATCATTCCACTGCGCTATGTCAAGTTTCAGAATGTGCAGAGTGTAACGGTAAGAACCCGAACAGTCTCGGTACTTCTGTGCCTTACTGAAGCTTGAGATAAAATGAAACATTACCTTTAAATACTTAAAAAGGGATTTTTAAGACGCTCAGTTAGATTTACACCAAATCACTTTACAAAGCAAGTCGCACCGTTTCTGAATTGAAGTTTGGTTTTCTTAAAACATTAGATTTTTTTGCCTCATTTATGGAGACTGGGGAATTTTCTTGCAGTCACAAGTATTGTTTAAAAAAACATGCTAGTGAGCATATGTATTGAGTTATTAATATGTTGCCAACAAATTGTTTTCACTCCATAGTAGAGGGCTGCTGCATTTCACCTCACCAAAAAAAAACAAAAACAAAAAAACAACTAAATATCTAGCACCTCACTTGACTAGAAAAATGCATTTCCAGTATATTATTTTTGTCTGTGTTTCCCCATCCGCTAGTTGTTCATCAAATCAAACCAAGGAGATGAGGAGACAACAAAAATAAACTACCTGACCTTCATTGGTAATCCAGTACAGGCCACCAACATGAATGACTTCAAAAGGGTATGAATCCCCAAAAAACTAAGCATATATATAAAATGTGTTTTTTTTGTTTTGTTTTTGTTTTTTTTCCCAGCCAGTAATTGAATGGTCTATTCTTCATGCAGGTTGTTGGAAAGAAAGGAGAGAGTCACTGAGTCAGGACAAATGGAGGGAAAGAGGAGACGACTGATATTTTGAAGGACTTTTCCCTTTGCCAAAGCTGCCACACTTCAAGCAGACATTGTCACGCACCACACGTATACACACGTGCACACTGCTCAACTTCTGACTTAAGAATTATCAGTCTCTGGGGACTCTCAGACTATAAACATTTGTATTGTAAGTCAAATTAAAATCCCTGTAAATAAAAGTCCTTTTTCAAAGGCATGCCTGTCTTTTATGAAGTTATGTGAACTTCTTCCTGGAGCAACATTTTTATAATGTAGATAAATATTGATTAAAAACTAATTTCCTTCAATGTATTTTACTGTTGTCCTCGATCAGTCGTTCTTAAACGTTTGACACCAAGTACCACCATTTTGACCAACATTAAAATATGGTAGCATAGTAGGTTTAAGTGTTCATTTAAATAATATTGTAAATCGCTCACATTTTGCACCATAACACAGTGCCAAAATGTATGCACATTGGACATTAACTAAAATAACTGATTGTATGTAATTGGACAATTACTCTTTCGTATACTACTAGAATGAGCCCGCAGAACACTAGTGGCTCTGCTACTTAAGTGGCTTTCATTTTTGTCAGTGTTGCTCATGATGCAAAAGACTTAAGAAGGGAGAACCTTTATGGATCCCAATGGAAGCTATGCACTGAAAGTAAAAGTGAAGTTCAACTGAACTGTACCTATCAAATGTACTGTACTTAAATAAAAAAATAACAAATTTAAGACATCTGCAGGGAGTCTGTGGTATTCGTACCACATTTTGAGAACGACTGCTGCAGAGTATTAACCTTTAAAGTTCACAATAATGACATACTGTATACTGTGCTGTAAAACAGCGTGACAGTACACTACCGCATTGCCGCAAATGGTGCAATCCGTGTACTTTATTTTGAAAGAAACCCCCGGATGCGTTCTGGGTCAGAGCCAAACGATGTCTTGTGATAAAACTGACTGACCGTCACGCAGTTTGCCTGATCTTCAAGCTCAAAACAACCTCGGATTTGTTGGTTTTTATTTTCCTACTGACTTAGATCGTTTTGCCAAAATTCATCGGGAAGGAGATGTCTCAGTGATCGGCTGTTTTGTTTATGGTGCGTATCCACAACCGGAGGGGTTGTATTTTGATGCTAGGAGCAGCTTTAGCAACCCGGAAGTCGCAACATTACAGCTGATTGGCTTCAATGTAGCATAGCATCTTTGTAGCCGATCAGGTGTTGTTTGTATAACGCGTATACAGAGAGGAGCTATTGACAATGCAATCATGTCTAGTGTGGGAAACCACCCGCGACAGCAATTTGAGCCATTCATACACACTTGTCCCTGAGCCGCATTTCTCACCGCCGACGCTTAATCTGTCGTCAACCTCAAATCAAATCCCAGACGTTTCAATAATGCGTTTAATTCAACATTCTAATTTCTATCCCAGCAAATGGATGAAATACATCTCTCGAAGTGTAACGGTGCTGCGCAAATACAAAATGAAACGACGTGACGTCACGACGAAATGGAAACGAAAGCCTTTCAAGTTATCGGCAGTGCTTCGTGCTATTTCTTCTGTGGAAGATATAACTTGCTTTGTAGGACAGCGCAAATTGAGTGAATGGTCCATGTCCTTTGATATGTGTGTTCCGATAGGCGAAATACAGTCAATGAATATAGGCAATTCTTCCTGCGCCACATCTTACTAAATGCAATTATTTAAGGCCATTGCCTGTGCTGTATTAAAAATATATATGTTGGGCAACAGTTATTGGTCCAAGACAAGAGTTGGAGTACAGTTCATTGAAATTATATATTTTTTATTTTTTTGGTGTTCACACTCATTCATTTGAATTCAACCCTCCCAGACAGATCAGCACGATGTCAGGGAACAATCTGGTTCTACCCATTGTTCTATGGGGCCGCACCGCTCCAACCCACTGTATCAGCAGCCTGTTGGTGATGGACGACTTCAGCACAATCATCACTGGTTGCCACGATGGACAGATCTGCCTTTGGGACCTGACGTCAGAGCTGGAGGTCGTGAAATATCATATGATGTTGTTTATTGTCGGGTGTTTCAGGTTTTTAACGCCCCTCGTACGAAGCGGTGCAGAGGTAAAATTCTGACACGGTGTTAAATACAATTGTTTTTGTTTCACTTCTCTCAGATTTGTCCCAGAGCCATGTTGTTTGGTCATACAGCCTCCATCACCTGTCTGTCGAAAGCCAGCGCCTGCTCAGATAAACAGTACATTGTCAGTGCATCAGAGAGTGGGTGAGTAAAAATTACAGTACTACATCTTCAATATCATTTTACTTACCCAACTATTGGTTCCGAGCCTATTGTTAATATTTTGTCGGCTATTAGGTCATAGGTGGAAAATCCGCCACAAAGGCGAGCTCATTGGCTATCTCCTAAATTGTATTTAGAAATGTTAGTTTTAATTTTATGATGTACACTAACATATTTTTTGTGTCTCCAGGGAGATGTGTCTATGGGATGTAAATGATGGTCGCTGTATTGAATTTACAAAACTGGCTTGTGCTCACACCGGCATACAGGTAAATTCATGTATGATGCACATTTCATATTGTTCATCTTTAAATAGACACATATTTACAGTTCAGTCTCTTTCTAACAGTTATCATCAGATTCTTATATTATAAACATACTATAGCGTGCACTAGTGTTGAAATATCATTGCCAGCGTTCCTCATTTTTTTGTTGCGATTTCCTTCTTACTTTTCCCTCTGTGATGCTCCAGTTCTATCAGTTCACGGTCAGCACGCAGCGAGAAGGTCGTCTGCTGTGTAATGGCCACTACCCAGAGATTCTTGTGGTGGATGCCACCAGTTTGGAGGTGCTATACTCGCTGGTGTCCAAAATATCCCCCGACTGGATCAGCTCCATGAGTATTATCCGATCACACCGCACGCAAGGTTTAAAGATACGATTCGCTTACTCCTTAATTTGCTTCAAACTCAAAAGAATGTACACAGCGTCTTAAAATTGCAATGCACATATTGGTGTTTTTCATCATATGGATCCAAGGTTACATTCTGACTTAAGTATCTTTCTGTAGAGGATACAGTCGTGGCAGTGTCGGTGACGGGCATTTTGAAAGTCTGGATCATCACAGCAGAGGTCAACAGGATGCAGGTAGTAGTGGTTGTTCATTCAGAAAGAGGAAATACTTTTTTTTTTTTGATAGACAAAAACATATTAACAAAAATATTGAAAAAAAAAATCCCCTCAGGACCTGGACCCGGTGTTTGAAGAAGAATCCAAACCCATATATTGTCAGGGCTGTCAGAGTATTTCCTTCTGTACGTTCACTCAGAGCAGCCTGCTGGTGGTCTGTTCCAAGTTCTGGAGGGTAAGAGATGGCACCCAAACCAAGCACTGATCACACTCCACACAGATGAGCAGGAGCAGAGCAACACTTGGCCTCAAATTGAATCCCAAATATGTTTGTGTTTGTCAGGTTTTTGATGCAGGTGACTATTCGCTGCTCTGCTCCGTGCCCAGTGACAATGACAAGGCTTGGGCTGGCGGAGAGTTCATTGCAGCCGACAAAGTCATCATCTGGACTGAAGACGGCTGTAGTTACATCTATAACCTACCGGCCAGGTATATTTGCAAAGAACCCAACGTCGTCATCATGATCATCATCATCATCATCATCATCAGAGTCCAGCAACTGTCAAAAGAAGATCATCACAGACCAAAAATGTTCAGTTAGTTTTGTTTTTCTCATCTCCATCTGTTTTGCAGCTGTCTCCCCGCGAGTGTACATTTCCGAAGCGATGTGGGCAAAAAAGAAGGCTCAATACCGCCGCTGGTCTACACCATCGAAAATCTAACAGACAAACAGGTCGGTTACTAAGATCTCTTGTTGAAATGACATTATATACTCGTAGAATCCCAAATACATTGAAGCAGCCATGGATCTTCATTTTACTTGAAAGCGATGTATCCTTAATTTCTGCTTCTTCGAAGCTCCTGATATGTCCTCCCGTGACTTGCTTCTTCTTTGGTCGACGGGAGCCCTTCCACAAGCTACTGATCCAGGGAGACTCTGCGGGCAGACTGTCTTTGTGGAGCATCCCGGACTCTTCGCCTCCACGGTCACTGTCCACTCCGGCGGGTAAGGATTAATGAAAATTGAAACTTACTTTTTGGGGAGGGGGTTCTTTGCTTTTATAGTATTGTTCGATATTTTCATCATGTTTTGACTCAGAGGCAAAGGGACATCTGGGGGGGCGAAATGTATAACACTGATGACGATGCATCTTTGAGGTTTTATTTGGCGCAGGGGACGTAAAGATAACGTAACTATGCTTTGCGGACCCCTGGGGATCCTGGGATACCTGTTTGGGAATCACCGCTCTGCACAACTGCATGTGCAAACTCAGATGTTCTAATCTCAGAAGTCTGTACATCCATCTTTCTCTAGAACTGCAGGTGTCATCCACCACCAGTCTCCAAGAGGCGTTTGATAAATTGATTCCTGTGTCCTCTGGTATCATTGACCAGCTCAGCCTCCTCCCAAGCAAAGAGGAACCGATTAAGGTGTGACCGTGTGCAAGAATACATTTCTCATACAGGAGTTTGAAATGGAAATGTCTGATGGAGTAGAATTCTGTTACCTTCCATGAAGATGCACCTGATTTCCTCCTTCAGGTGACGGCCAGCGTCTACATCCCCTCCCAGGGTCGACTGGTGTGCGGAAGAGAAGACGGCAGCATTATTTTGGTTCCTGCTACTCAGACTGCCATCGTTCAGTTGCTGCAGGGAGAACACATGCTTAGAAGAGGTGAAGAAAGGAGAGTTGTTTTAGAGAGCCTTTTTTACACTGCTCACTATCTACTTAAATGGCACAGAGTTGATTGCAAACATCTGCCAAGGACAATCAATACTTCATAAATGTCCGTATTTGCTTTGCAACATCCATGCATTGTCCACTAATCTAAGATTTGTGTGAGGAAAGTCGACATTCCACCTTACTAAGTTTGATTTGCATGTTCCCTGCAGGATGGCCACCCCATCGCACGCTACGAGGTCACAGGAATAAGGTGACGTGTGTCCTGTATCCGTACCAGATCTCGCCCCGCTACGACCAGCGCTCTTTGGTGTCAGGAGGGGTGGACTTCTCTGTCATCGTGTGGGACATTTTCACTGGAGAGATGAAGCACATTTTCTGTGTCCATGGAGGAGAGATCACCCAGCTCATCGTCCCTCCAGAAAACTGCAGCGTGAGTTCTCCTGCAATTGACTTTGTCGCATAACCGTCAATGGATTTTGTCTATTGATGAAGCGTCTCTGCCCTTGTTTTGTCTGCAGACCCGGGTGCAACACTGTGTCTGCTCTGTGGCCAGTGACCACTCGGTTGGCTTGCTCAGTCTTCGGGAAAGGAAGTGCATCATGCTTGCTTCACGGCACCTGTTCCCCATCCAAGTCATCAAGTGGCGCCCCGCTGATGACTACCTCGTAGTCGGATGCTCTGATGGCTCCGTTTATGTCTGGCAGATGGATACAGGTGAGACTAGTCATACAGTTGACCCCCTTTTATGAAAGCGAGTAAATTCGGGACTCAACCATAATGAGTGAAAGGTATGGATATGAAAAGGCCATCTAAAACCTTTATATTATTTTTCTAGTTCTGCGCCTCTCACACACTTAAACATTTTTGATAATAAAATGCGACTATAAAATGTGAATGCTTTAGAATCATTCTTCAACCTAATTTTGCTGCTTTCAGAAACCATTTTAGTTCAACCTATTCCAACGATGCCAGCACAAATTAACACGTGCATGTCAGCCAAAGTACAACTTTGGTTTGAATGCGCTCTACAATGATCTCACTGGGAATACTGTGCCTGTGAGTGTGTGCATGTGTGTGCCTGTGAGTGTGTGTGTTTGGGTCCTGAATGAGCTGTAGCGCTGAGAGATTGCAGGGTAACTGAGTGTGAAATTAAAAGTGTGTATGAGACGGTGAGGGAGGAAGGAGCGCGCTTGCCTCTGTGTATGTGTACGTGAGAAAGAGAGGAAGTGAGCCCGAGAGCAGTCAGAAAGAGGGAGAGAGTCTGTCTGTGAGCCGTGGCACCATCGCATGTCTGATGCCTTGCACACCCTCGCACACACACTAATACACACTCGCTCTCTCTCTTTGACACACGCAGACACACAGCATAATGGTGCCACTTCTCTTCTCACTCAATACTTAGAGGCAATCCTGATATCAGGTCTGTCTGCAGCTAATGGGGTCTCCTCTAAACCTCTCTCTTTTGTAAGGGCACAGGATTGTTGCAGCCAGAGATAACTGTGAAGCGAATCGCATTCAAGAAAATAGATGTTGATAGTTGAGCATTATGAAACCAAGGTTTGGGGGATGAAGGATATTTGGCATTGATGAAAAATAACAATTTGAAGAGGCATAACTCCAACAGACAAAATGTGCGATAAAGTACACCCCCCCCCCTACAATGGTCATAGGTTTAAAATGAGCAAATTGCACTTCCAGCCCAAGAATCCACAACACTGTCACTGAAAAGCTTTTCACAAGCTCCGTCTTAGCCCCACAATCGTGTAGGGTGGATAAAGGCAAAGTATAACAAGGATAACTCCTCTTCTCATTGTTTTCAATGCTCTGTTACGATTCTCTTAACTTGCTCACTGTCCAATACTTGAATGTTTGCAGGGGCCTTGGACCGCTGCGTGATGGGCATTACTGCTGTCGAGATACTCAATGCCTGTGATGAGCTGGCTCCGGCCACCGTGGACGCCCTGAGCCATTCGGCAGTGAACCTGAAGCAGGCAATGACTCGCCGGAGCCTGGCGGCGCTGAAGAACATGGCTCAGCACAAACTGCAAACACTCGCCACCAATCTGCTGGCAGCAGACAACGCTGACAAGGTACAGTCACTGTTCAATTAAGGACTGCGGAGTAGGATCCAGGAAGTAAGCGTTGTATTGAAATGGAATTAGGCACGAATGTGTTCATTGTCCGAGTGATGAGACTCAATCATCTGGTCTTAATCGCCGCTCTTTTCTGAAAAGGCTGACACACAACTGCTGCATTTTTTTCCACTGCCTTTCTATATCGGAAATACATCACTGTTGCTTTTTGTTGTTGTTTTCATTGCCTCCCACCCCAGGGTCATTTCTCTTGCATTATGGGTCAAAACCATCCACCATCCCCCCCGTGTGAGTGGCTGTGTATGCTCCCCTGCCGTGTGTGATGAAAGATAATGGCCACGAAATGTCAGACTATCAACACAAACACTACACCCAGTCAGCTGCAAGCCATCATCTATGTTTACAGTTGCAGTTTTTAGTCAGGTGTTAAGGAAGTCGGTATGTGACTTTGAGTTTGTCCTCTGGCATTTCTGCTGAACCGCGTTTTTGTTTTCTTTTTGTCTGAAGGAGGTAAAGTATTGCCAAAGTGGGAGAAAAATATGATCAATAGATGTGTTTTTATAATTACCGTTTTTTTTTTCTGGGTTTAATCAGCTGATATGCTGATTCAGTACTCTGTTACTGTCAAATGGTGGTAAGTCATGTCATTGAAATTTGGATGAGCAAAGTGTGCAAACCTCAAGTATGGGCTTGTTACAAAGACAGTGTGCATAGTTCAATTCATCATTTTATCATACACTGTGATTTGGTGGGCGTTGAACCCGAAATTGAAGAACAACAATCAAGAATGTCTTGAAAAAGCCATTTGTGTTCCTGCAGAAATGTTTTATTTTGGGAACAGAATTTTTGAAGTCTCAATGTGGGCTTGGTTTGAACTCCCGACGGAGTCCAATTTCAAGCAAGTGTTCAAGAGGGTGCTTGAAAAAAGTCCCAAGAACTGTCTGGGACTCGCCACATTTGCATGGCTTTCCAGTGAAACAAGTAGACTCGTGTGCAATGGGGCCCTTGGCCTTTAGGTGGCAACGTTCATCCACTGGAACTTGCTGACATTGACGCGAAGACCAAGACGAGAATGTTGTTTTTAATGATTATTATTTGCCTTCCTTGCATTTCTAAGCTGTATGATTTTTTTTTTTAAAAATGTGATTGATAATTTCACTGATTCATAGTTTTGCACATTCTGGGCAAACAGAAGTCTTCTCAAGAGTGTGCGTCTGTGTGTATAATGTTTCAATTACGATTGTCACCCCTCAAAACGTGATAACAATGTTAATCATTTAATAATCTTTTTTTTTTTTTTTGTCTTAAAGAAATGTGACTACTCTATAGTCTTACTCTTAAACGTTTATCTCCTGTGTCTGACGGATTCACCGATTTTACTGATTTCCAACATGCTACCTCCTCTTTAGGGAAACCTGCCCAAATATTCTCACAATGCACTGGTGGTCCAGGCAATGAAGACCAACCTCACGGATCCTGACATGCATGTGCTGTTCTTTGACGTGGAAGCCGTGATCATCCAGTTGCTAACGGAAGAAGCTCAGAGGCCAAATCCCATGCTGGTGTCCCCTGAGACGCTGCAGAAAAGCCAGACTGGCGCTGACAAGGGAGGCTCTTTCCTGGCCAACAAGATCTTCAAGCAGGTCAGGAAGAAACACGCGGCAATCCAGACTCACCTTCTGGAACAGACCTTTGTGGTACCTTTCAAGACTTGGTTTCAAATACTTGTGTTGATGTTGTTTTAAAAAAAAAATAGGTAAAAGAAACAATGAAGGAGACCATCAAGGAGCACCTTTTGGACGAAGATGACGAAGAGGAGGAGGAGATGAGGAGGCGCGAGGAGAAGTCAAAGTCCTTGAGTCTTCTGGAGTACAACCTTACAATGGACACCGCCAAACTCTTCATGTCCTGCTTGCACGCCTGGGGTCTCAACGAGCAGCTGGACGGTATCTGTCTGGAAAGACTTGGCATGCTTAGGCCACACTGCCCCATTTCTTTTGGTCTCATCTCCAGAGGAGGTCACATGTCCCTCATGCTGCCCACCTTCAAGGTATGTGCCAATCTGGACGATTTACCCGAAATGAATATGTGAACTATTCCAATGACCAATCAAGACAATTCATTGTTCCTCCTTTTAATGCTCATGTCTTGTGTTGTAATGCTAGCTGAAAAAAAAAAAAAAATTGGCTTTGGTGTGCTCTCGCCATTCCTTGTCTTTGGTTCATTTGTCACCCTCCATTTGTCAGGAGTCTTTGCTGCGGCAGTTGTCCCTTGCAACAGGCCGCAAACTGACTTTGTCAGACATTGTTGGCAAGGGGACATACGGCGTGTCAAGGGCGGTCACTACGCAGCACCTCCTGTCCGTCATCTCCCTGGCCAACACGCTGATGGGCATGACCAATGCCACCTTTGTCGGCGAGCATATGAAGAAGGCACCGGCCAGGTAATAAATGCAGAAGAGCAGGACGCTCTCAAAAGTACAATACGGTGCACTGACAAATTATTTGCCTCTTCCGAAATTCATACTTTTTTTTGCACAGTTTCCCCACTTTAATGATTAAAATCAGAAAACAAATGTAAATATCAGACAATGATAATGTATGTTAAAGAAATGGGAGATGTGAAAATGGGTTTGGTATAGATTTTTTTCCATCATTAAATATGTGCATGAATGAGATTTGTGCAGCTTTCGTTGTCAGTCGTCTTTCTGGGTATTTGTGTCTCTCGAAAAGTACGTTTCCTCTGGTATGTTCAGACGCGGGATTGTGCCTTTACTGAACAATTCAATAGCCTGAGCAGACAAATACCCTTTTGTGCGTGTGTGTTTTTTTGTGTGTGTGTGTGTGTGTGTGTGTGTGTGTGTGTGTGTGTGTGTGTGTGTGTGTGTGTGTGTGTGTGTGCATGCGCAAGGGATTGTTTCGTCTTTTTTTTTTTTTTTTTTTTTTTTGTGCTCTTCCACCTTTCTCCTGTCCGTTCCTTTAATATTTCATGCCTCGTCTTTGTGATCCTCCTCCAGGCCTCCCAGACCAGGAGGAACCCCGGAGACTCCTCGTAGGACGCCGGCCACACCCCCTCAGCCCTCCAACCCGGCACTACAAGCCCAGATCAAACAAGGTAACTACAAAAGGAGTGGGGGGGGGGGGGCGCTTGCTTCACACCCTTGGGGCCCTGCGGGGACATTTGGAGAGAGGCGGGGTCTCATAATGTAGCCTACTGGCAATAAATCCCACAGAGACTTAAAAAAAAAATATCACAGAAGGAAGCTGCTGGTGTTTTCTTGTTCAGTGGGTCTTTAAAAGGACTCTTTTGTCATTTTTGACATGGTCGAGGTGCAACAGCTGGAGTTCAACCTTCTTAAAAATTATTTCCAAAGTCTTTGAGCGTCAAAGGATTTGGAAAAAAAAAAGGAATTAAAAAAACAAACAGCTCAAAAATGAATGACGTCTTTGGAAGTCTTGGGCACCGTTTTAATGGCCCTCATATGTGTCTACGTAAATGATCGTTTTTCTTCGCTAAACTGGTAAACATTAATCAACTTTGTATGATTATACCTATGCAAATACATCTTTTAGGAACATTTAAATGATCGTACAATATAAGAAACAAAACCATCAAAATGGGAAATGTGTGTTTTACTGTTATAACTTCAATCATTCAAGTTGTATCCGCAGAAGATTTTTGCCGCAAGACAAAATGACCAAACTCTACTGCAACACAATGCTTTTTCCAAGTATAAGAAGTGTCGCAACTTGTTCGGACAGGTTCACTGTAGGCGACATTGTAACCATCTGTCACCATCTGCCATACATACGCAACCGCACGCATGCACACTTGTCAAGCACAATACCTGCACATTTGTTTATACACACACTTGCCTCGGATGGCACACTTGCATTGGCGGTGGGAGGGAATGGGGTTTCGGGCTATTGTCATGCCTCAATGGGGGCGGGCGGGAGCGTGACAAGCGTGTGGACTGATTCGCGCCACACTCCTATTCATGTCCATTCAGAGGGACTCCTTGGCCATGACCTCTGCTCAGACAGTCTACCCCAACCAGGTGTGTGTGTGTGTTGTGCACTAATAGCAGCTCACAATCGCCCGGAAAAAAAAAATAGACACCCCTAAAATCCCACATATACACAGAAGATACTCTTAGCAAAGAGCAATGATTTTTTTAGGTTTTTGAGCAATTATTTTTTTAATACTCCTTGGAATTAGTACTTTTAGTGGGACATATTCTTAATCGTACTTATTCAAAAAAAAATGTCTTCAAGCCTTTTCCTTTTCGCGCTTTGGTTTATTCTGATTTTGTCCGTGCTCTTGCAGGAAAGTCATTTTTCTATTTAACTTTTCTTTCTGTTTTCTGTAGCATTACATTTGGTGATTTGAGACAACTTATCTTGTGACTTTTCTCCTGCATAGGAAATTTTACGCTGTGATCAGTTTTTTTGTTGTTGTTTTTTTGGGGGGGGGGGGACACGTTTGCGAACCTCCGGCTGAACAAAATAAGCAGAATCCTTCAGGGACTCACAGCCAGGGCGGAGGAGTACGAGTTGAAGATGTTGATGCGGAACTCCTTCAGGGCTTTCTTGAAGACCACATCCACCATGGTGTCCTTCTTGCCGTTTTCGCTCTCCAGGTCGGCAATCTGAAAGGGCCAAAACCGTCAAACACTTTGGCAGTAAGGTCACGGTCTGTTTTGACGCGCAAAGTGAAGCGTTTTCCTGACAGTCCTGCAGGTTATTACGGTGACGCGAATGGACAGCGCAACTCGACTGCAGCATCCTGAGCGGCGTTTCTAACATTATGATCTTCTCACGTGACGAAAATATAAATAAGAGACCCCCTCCTAGGACGGCGGTACAAGCACAAACACGCATTTCTTTCAGCCGGGACCTTCTTCAGGAGGAAGTCGTTCATGGTGCGATAGTCGTGAGCCGAGGTGAGGATGTGCAAGGCGTCGTTCTGCCACTGGGCGGGTTCCAGGGCCACGCTGCTGATCTTGAGGCTGCGCCGCCGCTTCATCTTGGGAGACGGCTCCTTGTTCTCCTTGCTGTCCCGCCTCCCGCGCGGCGATGAGGCCTCCGCATCTGGACTGCGAGGAGGGGACGGACGCTCTGATGGACACAACACAGAAGGAAAAATAAGGTTGTTGAATGCTCTGCGGCAACCAGGTGGTTTCAGTTGGCTTTGGTTTTTTTAAACATTTTAATTTTATTTTGTTCACCAAAATGTTTTTTTTTAGTTTTCATTGAGTGTAATAACCTTGGCAGTCACCGCCGTTGTCCACAGGACATCTCTTACCGGGCGTCTCAGCAGCACTTTCACTCCTGCTGGCCAGCTTCTCCCTGGACACTTTCTTCCCGCCCTGTTTGCTTTTACTCCAGAATCGCATCTTTCCTCTCATTCTGATGAGAAAAAAAAAAAAAAAAGTTTCAATCAAGTGTTCTAAGTCATGATCTTCAAACCTCCTGGAACCTGATTGCTCTCTGCCTTGCTTCATAATCAACTAAGAGTTCTGTGTAGCTCCCAACCCCCGCCCCCCAACAGGATCAAGAGATTTTATTTTTTTAATCTACATTTTTCTTTTGTTGCTTTCGTTATTTTCTGTTGCTGTTTTGTAATTGAGTGTAAACTATTCTTTTCGACTTAACTGCCTCACTCCCCCTTCTGTGTTCTTCGTGTGTACGTATACAGTTGACAGCTCTCTAACATCTTCCTTCACTCTTTACTATTTTTCTCCTTTTCTTTCCTTTTCCAAGCTGCGGTAGCCACCACAGCCGGCACCAAAGTTTCTGCTACCGTTACAACGGCGGGGCCCCCGGGGGCTCCTGGGGTTGTTGTTCCTCAGAGGGCCCCGGGCTCCCCCAGCCCTGGTCCTGCTTCTCATAGCATCCCCTCGGTCAATGAAGGTACCGACTGAACCGATGGGTTCAGCTTAAAGGAAATCTGACAGCCCTGTCTTGATTCACCCACTTGCGCTTGGAGATCCTCTTCTTCCCTTCCTCTATTGTCCACTCCCTTCTGTTCCTTTTCTCATGTTTGTATTCTCCCTCTCATGTAGTTTCTATCATTTCATGTCATATTTGGTTTCATTTGGACTTTTCTGTCCTCAAGTCGTTCTTTAGTTATTGACATGCCCAGAATCAGTTTCCACCCATCTATTTCAGTTCACGTTTTTGTGTCTCTTGCCTCAATCTTACCTTAGCCATGCTCCCTCTGCTTTTCTCAAGTGTCCATGTTCGTCCTTTTTTTTCTTTTAAACCCATGTCTTTCTTACTGTTTGGGTCTACAGCGCTGTACGTCTACCTGTTTGTGTGTCTGTCGTAGGTGTGTTCAATTCACTTTCGGTTCACTCAGTTGAACAGCGATCAAAATGCGGCACCAGTAAAGAGTTGAAACGTTTGTCGACCTTTTGTTTTCAAATTCCCAGCACTGTGGAACTTGCAAACAACCAAAGCTGTCTTGAAACAATTCATTTGAGAGTGCATTGACCATTGTCCCTGTCGGCTGGTGTGTCGTCAAGTTGTTCATGTGCAGTCTACTGTTGTCCAGTGATATTTCTCTCTTTCTGTCTTTTGCATGTTTGCTCTTCTCTGCTTCTTTTTGCTTAGTTGGCCTGCCTATTATTTTATATTGTAGACTCACTTGGCGACATTAAGCCGGTGAAAGCTATATCCGTTTCCTCACTCAATGCTTCTTTGACATGGGCAAACCCTCCTCAGCTCTTAGCGACATAATAATAAAATACATTACACCAAAACTCACATGGGGTAGCGGTGTCAGGTGGGGAAGATGTGTGACCATATCGAAAACTTGTGAGCGTTGGTTTGCGAGGTATATGTTTGTTTCAAATACGCACCTGGACTAAATGCTGTCTTCAAAAGTAGACGTTTCCATTTTCAAGTATAAAGACAATGTAGTGTTACAGTTGAACCTCTGCATCATTGCTGTCATGTGAAACACAAAACAGTTTCTCACTGAAGGGTCAACTTCAAAATCAATCAAATTGTCTCATTCATGTGGGGATGTTGCAAAAATGTTGAAAAAAAAAATTACATTTTCCGTAAAAATGTAATTTAATTGTGGTGTGATTTCAGTATTCCGTCAGTCTAACATCTGTCTTGTCCGACGCTAGAACAATATCAAAAGCTGACAATGCACGGACAACTAGGCTTTTTGCAAGCAAAATTTTGTTCATTTGATGTCGGGCTTTTCTCTCCCCCCCACTGCCCCCCCCCATGAAATTACCTTTGTGTGTATTTGCAGGTTGGAGCCAGCTGGCAGCAATGCACTGTGTCATGCTCCCTGACCTCTTGGGCCTAGACAAGTTTAGACCTCCACTACTTGAAATGCTGGCGAGGAGATGGCAGGACCGCTGTCTCGAGGTAAAACGCTCAGGGCTGCATTTGATTTGCCTCCGCACTTTGTACCGTCTTAATGTTCTATTCACAAAGGCTATCGCGCTACTGATATTCCAGCGCAAATATGTTCGCAAAGTTTCATCCAATCACAAATGACCGAGTGATTAACGCACCTCAGTCTTCGCACTAAGGGAAATGTCTGCGCTTTTACGTAGGTACGTGAAGCAGCACAAGCTTTACTGCTGGCTGAGTTGAGAAGGATCGGCCAATCAGGGCGCAAGGACACCATTGATTTGTGGGCTCCTTACCTGCCTCAATACGTGGACACAGTCAGCTCCCGTAAGTACTCGAACATTTTTTTTTCAGTATCCTGAGTTTTTTATTTTTATTTTTAAACAATATCATGGGTTTTTATAGAGTATCTTGAGCTGCTTTTTTTTTTTTTTTTTTTTTAATGTCGCCAACTTCCCCACACTCCTGTGATAACAATCGTACCGTTAGGTTCATCTCGTGATAATATTGCGTTGTGATATTTTGATATTGTTCCGTCCCTAATAAATAGCACCCCATTGCAGTCATCTCGTTTGGATGTGATGAATACATCTATTAAGTGAAAAAGCAATTAAGTGACATGAAGAGTGCAACTTTTTGAAGACATGAAGACTGCTTGATCTTTTTTATGATTCGTTTGACTTTTAATGGTGCGCACTGCATCAGTAGGCCTACAGCATCACATTGCCTTTGTCTCACTCTCGCCATCCATCCAGCTGTTTCTTTCTCTCTGCTTCCCCAAGCATCCCCCACTTTCCCTCTCCCTTCTGTCTATAGTTAGATCCTATGATGGGAAGAAAGGTTGATCTCCACCTTTTTTTTATGAGAAACAGTCTTCTAAAATACTATGCCTATATGTGTGTATGTTTCCAGGGGTTGCCTTGTAGTTGCTGAGGATGCTGGATGAGGCGGAGGGGGGGGGGTTCCTCAGGGGAACAGTTGCCATGGAAATGGGTACCGGTCAGTGTTGTGTTACCACTGCCGTACCGCAGGCGGGGGAGGTAGGGAAGTGATGGACGGGTGACCCCAGGGGAAGAGGGAGGACAGATGGGGGAGGGAACACCGAGGGCAAGATAGAGTGAGGTTATAGGGTCACTGAATTTGATCTATGCACAGCACAACAAGACTGACTGACAAAAAAAAGTGGGTTATTCTGGTCCTGAAAATCAGGGCTATCGTGTCATGATGTTGCAATGCAAGTCGCCGTCTACTTTTATCACTAATCTCTGTGACTCATTTTTGACCTGAAAATACTTTTTTTTTTTCACTATGACAAGAGGAATCCATTATTTGGGTTGTTTTTCTTGGTGTGGAGGTATCTGTCACCCGTGCTAGCCGGACATGCTACAAAGAATTACAATTAAACCTTGCAGTTTAACCTTTGAGGTGGATGGCTTCTGGCAGAATACGGAATGGAAGCCCAGGAGAGGTGGCGCAGGGCAAGTAGTTAACCTCAAATAACCACCATCTATCCCGCTCACTTCATTAACTCGTTTCATGCCAAAACGTAAAAATACGTTGGCAAAAACCCGATCATTTAGTGCCATCATTTAGTGGAAATGATTTCAACATGATAAATCACCACTAGATGGCAGGTGGGGCTTTGATCAGATCTTGGTCCACACTGCGCATGAGTGGGCGTGGGTGCCCTATGGTGATCGGAAGTATCGTGCAGGACGCCACCAGAGAGAACATCGATAAATATCATCAGCTAACTCTACAACAGAGCTTATTCAAATCAAAAAATGATCACAAAGTCCCATCGTCATCCTTAACGAACACGCGAACACGTTACGCAAAATCTCCTCCATTCTTCACACCTTCACGCTCATGCACACATGCAATTTGGCCCTTTGAACTCACTGTGTGTGCCAGCTGTTTCTTTGATCACTGAATAGTAACCACCATACCCTTCTCTTTTGCAATATTTCACATCTGTTTCCCCCCAATTTTCTTCACCTGCTGCTTTTGGTGTTTATCCTTTTGTCCTCCTTGTGTGTGTTGATATGAAGTTCAGTAGTTCTAGGAGTAATGGTATCAATAAGATGAACGCAGATCACCAAATAGCCTGATTGCCAGACTAAAGTGGAATCGGCCCGCTATGATTTTACAGAAAAGGAAGTGTGTGTTTTGAATCGAGGAAGAGAGAGCAACAGACACAATGGAGTAGGAGGAAAAGGTCCGGGAGGTTAACAAGGCATGCTGGGAGCTATGTGTCATGGCTGACATGACAAGCTTGACCTTGGAGCAGGCAGGAATACCTTCTTTTCCCTCTCCCCTCCCATCCATCCTAACCCCCCTCCCACCATCAGTCCTCCATTCTACAATGCCCACCCCACCCCACCTCTTCTTTCTCCCGCAGCGGGTTTCAACTCTTTCATTCTCCAGCAGCTGACTTATAGATCATAGGCCTGGTTGGATGCGTTTTGTAACGATGTGAAAAGCAATGGTGTGGAAGTCCCAGTGGCAAGTGGGTCTGTATATCAGATGGATTAAATTCTCTTGCCGATAAATACAGCAGCAGCTAAATTTCTTTTCGTAGACCCCCAATACGTGCCATTTTTTTAAAATGATCAGAACATCGCTTACCTAAGGAACATGTATCACAGTCACTTTTGTGCTGCAGTAGGCCAATGCTGAGACATTTTACAGATTGACCGAAACATTAAAAAAAACCCAAAAAAACAACAGCAATCATTTTCCTTCTATTTCACAATTTTGCAATACTGTTTGTCCAGCACATGAAACCCCAATAATATACAATGAAATAGTTCTTCCTCAGAACCTGGTGATATTGTAATGTTGTTACAGGCATTGTCTCTTTAGCTCGCTTTGAATGTGTTGTTTTCTATTGGACGAGAAAACACAATTTTGCTGTATTATTTTTCTCATGATTTCTCATTATCTGTTGCGTTTGTGCCATTCTGCTCAAATGAACACAATTTGAATGAAGAGTGTTTTCTTGCACGCCGTGTTGCGAGTGCCCGTGTGGATTTCTTTAATGAATCTGTTTAACCAGAGATTAGCCCAGCATCGGTTCAATTACCTTTTGTCACTCCATTCATTAGGGAATAATCATTCATTAGCCTGGCTAATGAAAAGCACTGTTAATTGGCAATGGAGCGATAAGGCTTTAATGAAGGCACTAAGTGTATCCTGTTTGTTGGAACAGGTGTGTGTTTCTATTAATTCCCCTGATAACGGAGAGGTCCAATAAACCTTTATTAGCTACTTCACCGGGACAATAGGAATCAATGTGAAACCTGTCGTGATGAGAATACTAACGGCTACACAAACCCCGTGAAAATTCGGACCCGTGCATTTTAATTAAGTGTGCTTCTATCTTTTAGCCGGCGCATCCACCGAACCCTCGACTCCGGCTCCGCCCCCTCCTGAAGCGCAACCAATTGAGGCCAAGGCTCCCGAGGAGGAAATGGACGTCACTGATGATGACATTACGGCAGGTATTCATAACAATACAAGCAAAAACTGTACCGTTGCAAACACGCTGGCACTTGCTTTCCCCACGCAATCAATTGCTGATTATTCACTTATAAATTTAGACACATGCACACCTGTAACTTTGCACAAATGTCCAATTGTCTTATGACGTTTAAATATTTTTGCCGACACTAATAACTTCATACATCCAACCTTATTAACTTATTTTTAAAAAATGGTTTGACACCTTTAGCCTCCCAGCTCCCTTCCTTCCTACTTTCCTCCCCATCCTTCTCCCAGAACAATCAATATTACATACGCAGCTAACAATTTGTCATTTCACACTGGCCATGTTTTTTTTTTTTTTGCCCTGTATTGACAGCAGTATTTTTCATTTTCTGTGCAGCATTAAATCTTTAAAATCGTACAAACACCAAGGATCCGCCAAAACAGGGAAAGGGAAAATCCTATGCAGGAGCAATGGAAACGGAACTAAAAAAACAAAACAAGAAGTAACTAGGAAGAGAAGACAAGTGGGGAAAGAATGCTGTTGACAGCAGCAGAATGACTTGGCTTTGGGCTGTTACCACGGCACCTGAGTCTACTCTTCCATGCCCCAGACGCACGCACACACACACACACACACACACACACACACACACACACCCGCCTTGTCTTTGTGCTGTAGTTGTCCTCATAGGTGTCAAGCGATTTAAAAAGAAGCAATTAAAACAAAGTGGAGCGCGACCGATTAATTGGCCCCCGTAATAGCGTATCACCTGTATATCGACATTGGACAATATGGAATAGATGCGCTGCATGAACTTTTTTTTTCTGGACAGAGATTCTGTCAGGCAAGCCACTCTGTGTCTCTGCTGCACTTTGCCTGAGTGCCTGGCCCCTCCCCCTCATACACAAACGCACAGACCAGTATTATATAATTATATTTACTGGTTTTGGGAGGCATTCTGTGTACATGACAATAACCCATTAATTCTTCCGCACCCTAAACAAGGAACATGACTGAAAAAATGTTGCCTTTCTTTTCTGAATTCAACTTTTGGTTTTCCCGTTTCCATCTCTCAACCCCAGAGAGGGTTTGCGGTGGCGCAGATAGAGGTCAGAGGTGAAAGGTCAGGCTGACCCTCACCTCTCAGTGTCATTAGCCCAGTTGTGATTCGGTTAGCCGAAACGCTAGCCTCCCCTGCTAATCTAATATCTGTGCCTGGAGGTTGTTTGGGTCAGCTCACATTTCTCTTCAGCACAGATTGAATCTGCGCAGAGATGAATGTTCGCAGTGGTGACTCTAAACCTTCTCGATTGTTTCCGATGATTCAGTTTGCGCCGTTTTTTTTTTTTTTTTTTTTACACATTGAGGGACACCTGCAAAGGTGCGGTGTAAATTTAAGATGATTAGTAATACTGTAATAATGAAAATATAATTGGGGCATTTACATTGTGGCATAGGGCCACGAAGGTTTGTAAATTTTTTTCAAAAGTGCGTTTGTATTTTCTTGGGGTGTCTAGATGTGACATTAAAATTTGGAAATCTGGATTTACAACGTGGATGGATTTCTTGAATCAGGGAATCGCTTCAATTAAACTTGTCAGACAAATTAAAGAAGGCTACAAGAGATTTTTAAAAAACACATCATGCCACAATCTAATGCAACGTAAGATCCGCCTCTTCCCATCATCCTTGAGCTTTCTCATGAGCACAGATTCTTGTCTGTCAGTCCGAAGACAATAAAATGCATTTAACCTTTAGACCGACTTAGGCAGGGTCGAAGGGCAATAACCACTTTAGGATTTCCAATTGTTTTTCTTGTGCCTTTTTTTTTTTCTTTATCGTCTTAATTGTGTTTTCAATTATTTCCCAAGCTTCCATGTCCCCTGACATTCACTTTAAGGACGGAGTGCATCCTTGACCACCACAGTATTCCACAGCACAAGCGCACTCGCGTTGAAAGGAATTCTTCCTCCATTGTACTTTTCCACGGTCTACTCTGTCGACCGTTTGCTTTCTCCTTCTACCTGCTTTCGTTCTCACATCAGTTTCCTGCTGATATTGATCCCCTTCCCTCGGTCCCGAGTGATCAAGTTTTACCAGCCTCCTATTGATTACCAATAGATGCAAAGCCACGCTGCAGGATTGTAGGTTGATAGGGTTACCGCTTTTGAAGTGGGGTTTGGTACGCTTGTTAGCATGACTTCCCCAAAAAAGGAAGATGTTTTAGCTTTTATTGTCATATGTCCATCAATTATTATCTTTAAAATGTTCTGACCGCAGGTACAGTATGCGCAACATTACGTCAATATTTTTCATTACCCCTACTTGAGCATTCATCTTATTGAAATTGAGGGCTTTGTCTCTCCCAATGTTTCCAAGATCTCAGTTGTCAGGGGCTTTATGCACAGCTCGGAACCCGCTATGTTGACTAATACGTTGCATCCTGAGTATAGGGTAAGTCACAGGACCGGCCAAACTATGAATAAAAAGTCTGACGTTTAGTCCCAAAAATGTTTCCCACTCTTAAGCTTCGACTACTCGTGCCGGCCTTTCCTGAATTTTCCTCCATCCATCCATTAATCAATTCCTAGCCCTGTCTCACTCATTATTCTCTGTCCGCCTGACCTTAAAAGATATTTTTAGATTAAATCATTTTCTTACTCTTAAGGATAATGTTATTTAGCCAGATAGCTTCCTTTTTTTCCCCCCCTTCATTCCAGTCCGTCGACGATTTACCCAAACGTAGGCAAGGGGAGAGGAGAGTTTGATCGTGCCCCTCTTTACTTTATTGGGTTACGTTTGGGAGCAGGTTGACCAACAAATAAGATTTAGATACAATGTCATTATAATAGATCTTTCGGTCGTGAAGGAAGGGGATCGATGGCCTTCAAAAATCAATCATTCTGTCCACACGGGCCGACAGACCGCAGGTAGGATGAGATGCACCCAACAACTGTCTGCGGACATCTCATTCCACCTAGAAAGTTCAGAGCATCTGCCACTCTTTAAAAAAAAAAAAAAAAAAAAGCTTTTACATGATCAAAAATGGCTACCAATGGCCCAAGTGTAAAGGTGAAAGTTTGGAGTCTCATTGCTCCATCCATCCGTACTTTTTTTTTTAAGCGCGGGAACTCTGACTCGCATAAGTTTAATCAAGCCACGCTGCTGATTAAGACTGTCATGTCTTCTTCACTCACGTACATTATCTTGAAAGATATGTTCTCATCAAACTCCTATTTAAACGTTTTTCTCACGCTGCCATAACTTTTTTTTTGTTGGTTTTTTTTTTTAATTTTTTTTTTTTTTTTTTTTTTTTTTTGCGTTTCTGTAAATTGTAACTTTTTTGTGTGATTTTGGTTGGAAGTCCATCTGTAATTCTGTTATCTACTGGCCCATTCTGGCCCAGGGAACGGATGCCATCTCTAATCCATTTATCAGAGCCAGCCGCTGGGCCTTCTTCCAAATGACAGCTGGCCTTTTCGCAATCTCATTATAAAGAGCACCAGGATATAGTATGAAAATATGGGGGAAGGAGGTTTTGAGGGGCTGAAAAATTGAGTAACTTATAAAACCTGGACTCACCCATGTGAACCGCTGGGAACAGCCTTGATGTGGCATTTTCATTTCTTTAAAATCTTTCTTATTTTGACCTCTTTATCTTTTTTTGTCTTAAACCTGTGATATTGTGAAATGTTTTTTCCCCCCAACATTTAGATGAATATACTGGCTTGTAATTAAGGTCAACTTCTCATAATTACCCTATCAACATGGTCCACGTAAAAATGGCAGATGAACATTTGACATATGACTTTAGCTTTTAGATTCATAACACTTTTTTTTTTTAATAATCCCAGGAGCCACAATGGATTCATCATCCATCCACCGCACAGATCTTTTTTGCACAAGTCACACAGTTTTACCTCCATCCAAATCAAATGTGTGTTTATATCCATACTTCAACTGTCAACATCAATACAATATATAAATATTACAGAAGCTGTGTCAAAAAATGAAATATGATGTATTGTATTGTATGTATCGCCAATAATATGGTTGCCTTTGCTGGCTTGGGAGATTTGGGCGTGATAGACTCCCCTGTGACCAATCATAAGTGATTGTAGCTTCAGGCCTGCACTGCAGGATATTTGTCATGATCCTCTGACTTCATTTTTGCTTCCAATCTTTCGTATCTTATGTCTGTAATGTAAAATGCTTTTCTTTATTTTCATAAAGACAGGAGGTTGCTTTCTGCTCAACTCTGGAAATTAAATCTGGTGTGCTGTAAAAATGTATTTTTTCCCCAGTCAGAAAAAAATATAAAAGCTACTGTATATCGTAAATAATTGCAGAGCCTTTAGGAATTCATAATCTGATTCTGACTTAGGAGTCATGTTAAATAATGACCAGAATCAGGTTGCATGAACAAATCCAGGAAGGTCAATGGCAAGACGGTGCAGTGGCTCCCTCTCTCTCTTTTGTATGTTCATCTTACAACCTCCTACCGCAAGTGTGGGAAGGAGGGTGGAGTGTGGGTGGGTGTGGTTAGCAGGCGCTTTGTTCCCTGCGATATAAATCAGTCAGAGTGATTTGCTCACTCACCCAAAGACAGAGAAAATCAGAAATAAAAATCCGACATCTTGATGGTAATAGGAAATTGCATCCTCTCTTCTCACACTCTCTCCATCTCTCACACATACACACACACACACACACACACACACACACCTACACACAAACGCGTGCACACAATTTATACGTTCCCCTTATTGGGCTTGTGTGCTTTTTTTAACCATGTGTATAAGGAGCTCACATCTCCTACTGTGATTTTGCCACACACGCAATTTTCACGAGTCTGCTGCCATAGTTCCCCGCTGCGCAGGTTCTGTTATGTATTGTACACACATGCACACCAGGTTCTTTTTAGGTGTTTGCAAACACGGTGGGGACACACACAAACACTCAAATTGACAGAATTAGCAAGAAGTGTGTCCTGTCGCATGTGTCCAAAAAGCAGAAAGACTCTTAGAGTGGCTGTGTATGTCTGCACTGTAACAAAAGGCTTTCAGTTGAACAATAAGATGTATGCCTGCATTTGTTTGGGTGTAAATAATGGCCAAGCCCTGACAATAGAAGCAGTGTTTGCCTTTTGTTGGTATCAGCTTCATGGCGAGGCGTTATTTTTAACACATTTCATAGCGAGAAGGATGAGATCGATTGAAAGCAACGCATCCAACAGTTCATATGAGGTGTGCTAAATTTCAATGTTTGGCCCGAAGCTCTTGGTAAATTCTCTTTGTCTGTGTGTGCAAGGCTGCCTCTCGAACCTTCCGCCGAATGCCAAGAAGATCTCCAATTCGTACGAGGAGCGACGCAAACAGGCCACGGCCATCGTGTTGCTGGGTGTCATCGGGGCGGAGTTTGGGGCTGAGATTGAACCTCCAAAAGGTGCCGCACGTACTCGGGCCGGCGGCCAGGTCCCCGAAGGCTTTGGACCAACAAGTGGCGGTTCTTCAAACTATTCCCTGGCTCGACACACGTGTAAGTCACTGAGAGCACAAACGTTATTCGTGTCGGGATGAACCGCTGCAAAATGATGTCTTCTCACTCTTTGAACGTGACTGTTTTTATAGAGCTGTTGGATATATCAATTGCAAGTTTAGCTGCAGTTTGGAGGGATTTTTATCAAGTTGGAAAAACAACGTGAGCTGCCCTGAACCTTGTTTCTGTGATAAATTGTGCAGGGATTCAGTTAGACAGCAGTCGACACTTATAAACGGTTGATAAGCTTCCTCTGTTGACATTTTGCAGAACTTGGACACTTCTAAACCTAATTTAAGGGTTAAGTACATCATATTTTCATACCGTGCCACAACATTCAACCGCAATCCGTGTCGTGCTGCAGGTCGAACTTCGAGCATCTCCTTTGGTACAATACAATCACAGTTTGGTCACAAATGTCGAAGTCATGGGGGTAAAAAAAAAAATCACAGATGGATTAAAGGTGAGGGGGGAGAGTTGAGATTGATTTTAATCTGCCAAGCTTGACTCTTTAAGCGTGAAATATAACACTCACGCGCACACACACACACACACACACACACACACACACACACACACACACACACAAATTCTCTGATTGATCGGAGCCTGTGCCACACGGAGCCGACGGCACTTAAGCCTCAGCGGGCATCAAACCCGCACTAAGCGGAGGCGCTCTTCCATCCTGCTTCTCCCGAGCTCTGATTGGTTGTCTCTGGGGGCATCCACCCGGAGACGGTGCCTGTCTGCTCACTGATAGGCTTAATCCATGGCGGGATGAACACACGAGGTGTAGCTCACCTGAATGGTCTCCAGCCCCCCAAAAAATCTCATACATCGGTAATATACTGCGCTCTTCAGTATGACACGGTCTTTTAACTGGGACTCCGGTTCCATTGTTTTGGTTGACTCGTCTTCCTTAGGTTGAGAAAGAAAGTTGGCATACCCATGAGAATACAAGATTCCAACCAGAGGAATCCGCTTAGGCGTGACGGTCAAATGTTGTTTCTACATTTTCATTCCGGTCTCCTCAGTGGTTTTCGGCTCATTCGATCAGTCCGTCCTTCAGCCTCTTCCCATCCAGTCAATTGTATTTCTCTGTGCGTCCACCCCGTCTCGTACTTCACCTGTCTCTGTCATGAAATTGAAAGATGGATTGTTGTTGTTGGCATACAGTGCTACGCGTGCGTGATAAATGAGAGCCGTCTACCCGGAGAGAAGGTGGGTACAGTAGTCGTCATGGCAGCGTATGGATTTATGTTTTCATGTGCCGAGAGAAGAAATGTAGAGGATGGTGGGGGAAATTGAGCTTGGGCTGGAAGGAATGACGGACAGATGATGACAAAGGAAGGGTTGGACGGGGTGAAAGAGACAAACTGTCCATCGTGTTCTCTCTCCGGACAATTATCTGCGTCGTAAATGTCAAAATACTGCAAGTCCCCACAGGGGTCCATTCATCATGAATGGTGGCATTTTGAAACATTCATGAGAGCTGATTGGAAATTGAGTTTGTTTTTTTTCTTTTCTTTTGTTGTTGTTGGGTTTCTTGTGTACAGCACTGCGGACAAAAACAGTTTTACAAAATACCGTAAGAAAATTTCACATCAGTCATTTGCGATATTGTTGCTCAAAACCGAAATTTAATTTAAACTCATCTGGTTTACCTCGCCGATCACTTTAAGCACGTCATTCTTGTTTACGCTCGTAAACGTTTGACAGTGAAGCTTTATGCATGAATTGTGAGACAAGACAAGACCTTCACTCTTTGCAGTCACTCTGATCGAGCCATTATCCACTAAGTCCTTAACATTGATTTACCTTCACGACAGTAGCAGACGGAAACAGGAACGGCGGCGGAGGAAAGAAAGTAACAAGCGTGTTGTGTTGGCCCAATAAATTAAAATGTACCAATCTGTTGCTGTTTCACGCTCTCTTCGACGTTCACTCCTTCCTTCTTCCCTTTGTCTGCTTCCTCCGACCAAAGTCCCGCTCTAATTACCCACCGGGTGTTAATGTGACATGTTTACTACTCTAACGAACAGCCCATTATGGCCGACTGATGCTTTGTCAATAGATATTGAGTCATTTGAATCTAGAGCCTTCCTTTAAATAAAGATGTCCGCCAAGAGGAATGGACCTCGGTGGAGACTATCTCACTTTTTCTTCACTGACGTTCGGAGAAAAGCTGCAATTGAGTCTCTAGCCATCTTGAATTGTCTATAAACACACGCCAAAAAGGGCTACAAAGTTGAATTCGGCTCAAACTTTCAACAGGTAAAAAGTACACGCACGTACACAAAATAGACCCGCCCACAACCTCCACCTTCATCAATCGCATCTTGACATGTGTTCGAGGTTTTTGTTTGTTTGAGAAGAGAATCTGCGTACATATTCACATGAGAGGTTTGATTTTGACCAGTGATCTTCTACGCCATGACCCCCAAATCATACTCCTCCCCCAAAGGCCTCCCACACAGTCACCCTTCCAGTGTATATCGCTGATTATCGCTTTATGTGAAACGAATCGCTCTCTGGAGCTCACATTGATTAGCTGTCAGAAGCAGGAGTTGCAATTAACTTGGCAAATGAATGTTTGCATATTTTACACACGCACTACAAGGGCATTCCGCAAAATCGCTTGTCGTATAAAGAGCGTATTAGTTTTGATTGCATTGTTTCATATTGATTGAATTGTATATGAAAAGATTTGGCTGATCTTGATCCCTCTCTCACCAGTTGTCTCCAAATCACAAATGACCAACAAGTTATTAGCTGCCATGAAAACATGTACTTGTTATTTGCTCTCAAGAATACAAAGTCATATACATTTATTATATCGATCCATAAAAGAAAAATGTTGAGAGAAATGCAAAATATCACCTTGTACAATATATAACTCTTCACGTTGAATATGTCATTTCTTTTTTTTGTTGAATGTTGTTGGTTCTGGTGTTTGAGCTGCCTTGTTTTTTTGCCGAGGCTCTGAGTCCCTCTGGGCGAGATGTACTGGCAGTCAGTCACCTGGGAGATAGCCGAGCGGGGTGGCTTATGTGTGTTTGGGGGAGGGGAACGTTATTGAGGGTTGGGGGATATTTTTTTGGAACCTTAATGGTCAGCGGGTCCCCACAGAGGCTGGCTCAAATGTCAGGTCAGCTATGAAATGACCTCCAGCTCACTCAGTTGCTTCATCCTCTGTGAGCATGTTGTATTTCGACTCCCGCCCCCGTTTGCCATTTTTCAATTATGAAATGTTAATTTTATTGCAGAATTCTAGGCCGTCGAAACATACACGTCGAGCCAGACGTGCTAACTGGATGCCGATACCAATAGAAGTCATATACAATGTCAACACATTTGATTCCATGGCGAAATAGTCATTCTCAGTGTTTGACTATCTCAGGTAAGGCCCTGACCTTCCTGCTACTGCAGCCCCCCAGCCCAAAGTTGCCACCGCACAGCACAATCCGTCGCACCGCCATCGATCTGATCGGCCGGGGCTTCACCGTGTGGGAGCCGTACATGGACGTGTCTGCCGTGCTTATGGGGCTGCTGGAACTCTGCGCTGATGCCGAGAAGCAGCTGGCCAAGTGAGTCTTTCCTGAAATTTCCCTTGATCACCTTTGGATAAAATTCATTTGTTCGCCGAGCTTCCCAACCTGGAGAAAATCCGTTTTTAATCCATGAATTTCACAGTTTCACACCTTTTGCTCTACAAAGTGCTTTATATTTATATGGAGAATTTAATTGCGCTGATTCTAATTTGTTTTAATTCACATTGATCAATATCAATCGGGCATTTTATCTGTCTGATATCCCTCACTTTTTGTGAGTTGTGTATATGCCGTATAGAGAGGTATTTCGCAGAAGACGGCATCACGGGTTATGTCTATGTGTTGTGTGTTATGGTATCGTACTTCATAATATTGTGAAAAGCTGCACACCGACGACGCGGCGCAGCACTTGAGCAACATGGAGCCGACACTAAAAACGGAGATCAAGACTTTAATTTTGATTGCAGACATTACCGTGATGTTTCATCGTCTGCATTGCACTGACATGTCAGCCATTTTCTGCCTTCATTCGTCTTCGTTAAATGACCACTTCCTAAAATGAGGCACGCGTTCAAGGAAACCTCTCCTGAAGCCGGCATTCATCAGCCGTTGTACAAATGTGCCGACTCAACTGATGTGAGTCTGTAAGGTACGATTCGGGATTTTTGTGGTGCCGATAGATGATTGGTAGAGAGCATGTCAATCAAACGAGCAGCTAAAGGTTTTTTTTCTGATACTCTGGCCCCCTCCTATGTTCCACAAACATGCCTGTGAGGTTTTTCTGAAGACTTCAAATTGTTCGTACGCGTGTCCCCGCAATTGACCAACCAGTCCAGGATAAACCAAGCCTCTCGCCTAAAATCATCGAGGCTCACCCGAGACCCTGAAGAGGATATGTGATAGAATATGAATGAAATGCTCAGTAGGAAAGCCACTGCATTTGACAAAGCCTCATCGTGTGTCTGGTGCATCAAACATGAGATAAGTGTGCGTGTCAGAAATGGCAAAAGTCTGCATGAACTGATTTTGTTAAGCCTGAAATCCGAGACGCTTTAGCCTGGCTTAATGAGTATGGATATGTCTGCTGTGCGTTGGGTGTGAGTGTGTGTCTGTGCGTCCGCGCAGAGGAGCAAGAAACGCAATGCAGTTGGCGTATTCGATTTGAAAGCGGCGACAGCTCCAGCCGTCAGCAATTAAAGAAAAAATAAATATCTCAGGAAAATTAAATTATGCACACAACTTGCTTTCCAATGTATTTATTTGATTGTGGATTAACAGACATCCACTTCTCCACTTGCTTTTTGTGTTTCATTTAAAGTTGTGGAATAGAAATATTCTCCATCCGGTAGGCATGCTGCACATTATTACTAAAGTTATCCTTTTTTAGTTTGAAAAACACATATGGATTTTTTTTTTTTGGGGGGGGGGGGGCATGATTCTGTGGCCCTGCTTTAATTCCTCACACCATTCGCGCAGTTGAAGTAGGGAAGGGAGAAGGCAGCATACGAGGAGTTGAATGTGTAACGGGCTGAAAGGAAGTGCGGGCGCACACAGAAGCTAGTATTTCCATGCAGCTGAATCGCAGTGAGGCTCTTTGTCCCTGTTGCACACTACTAGTCATCAATACACTCCTTACAGAGCGCCTTGTGTGAGTCTGTGAGTGAAAGTGATAATCCTTTTTTCAATTTGTACAGAATAGGGAAGAGCCCCCGTTGTGGAAGACTTGCACACATTTTATACATTTTCAATACCAGAACACTTGTCGACAGACCACCACGTTACCTGCTGCGTTCATTTCTTTATCCCCCTCCATAAAAGAAAATCATAAGAAAAAAAACCACTCTGGTAAGACCATGCAACTTGAAACTAACGCACAAAGAGAAACCTAAGGCCCACGGTCACATTTGAAAATGCCATGAATTATGAAAAAAAAAAATTGAAATTGCATTGGGGGTAGTTTGATGCGAAATGAAACAGAAATCTGGTTCCATTTATGTTTTTTGAATTGATGCGAGACAAATCAATTGGTCGCTCAGCTGCCCTCTGCTCTGTTTCATTTTTTTTTTCGTGTAAGGGATTCAAAAAAAAAAAAACGCGCACGTTGTTGCGCTCCAAAATTATTTGTCCCTCTAATTTCATGCCACCAGAAAGCCCACCGGCCTGTACTTTGCTCAGAAAGTCAAACGTTTAACCTGTCAAGTCGGCGGGGTGTTGATTTCTGGTTGCAGTGACTCAAACAATGTGACTGATGTTATTAGCTGCTTCCTCACACATAACAATCAATATCCCCCTTTTATCATGGTGTGTGTGTGTGTGTGTGTGTGTGTGTGTGTGTGTGTGTGTGTGCATGTGCGCGCGTGTGTGTGTGTGGGTGTGGGCCCTAACGATAATTCAGATTATTTCATTACATGTACTTAATGTTGGTCATTAACCTCATTGGTTTTCAGTTCAATTAGCTCCCTGCGCTCGTGCCTTATATCAACATTGTGACTGTTTCCAATTACAGCCGACACTATAAATGAAATTAAACATTTCAGCATGGCTGATTTATGGCGAACATATTACCCACCTTAATCTCTGGCTGTGATCTGTAATCAGGGGAGATGAATCGTGCAAGTCACCCCCCCTTCGCTGACTCCCTCTCTTCCCGTTCGCGCTCTTTCTCTCCTCCCTGACTCACTCGTTTGTTAACAAGGCCTTGCTCCCCCTCCTTTTGCCTTTTTTTTCCCCCTCTGTCACTCACATACGCTTGGAGAAATGAGGGGCCAGCTGTTAGTGTGTGTGTGTGTGTGTGTGTGTGTGTGTGTGTGTCATTCCTGTTGCATTGTGGGAGTCCATTATGCCGTTTTCTGGTGAATGGCTGCCATTGACTCAGCCTTGACATTATAAGCTGCCCACTAATCTCTTCACTTCATATATTTGTAAATCTCTCTCTCACACACACGCTCATTCTCTCTCTCTCTCTCTCTCTCTCTCTCTCTCTCTCTCTCTCTCTCTCTCTCTCTCTCACACACTCTCCTGCTTACTGTCTGATTTAATTGAAAAAAATATGAGGCATAACAAATAGCTTCACCTGCCCCACTGCATTTCGCTGAGCGTCAATTATACACATTTTTTTTTTTCAATATTTGCTGGCCAGCCTGATCGGATCATCCCTGTTCGCCATAAATAGCGATAGTCAAGTAAAAATAGACTGTTTGAAAAAAAATAAAACTTTCCTTTTCTGTTTCCAGAACGCATTGCATGGTGCAATGCATTATGAATTAATTTAAACTTCGTTTTATTCATTAAGTCACAAGGGCATTGCCTACAAAAAAAATAAGATGCTGTAAACGGTTAGCGCACATAAAGGTGAATAAAATCGGCAAACAACCGCCATTTCATCCATAATCGGCCAAGAGATCAGGATCTTTTTCCCCATCTTCGCTGTCTGAATGAAGGTGAAAAATAATCTGTTCCGCTGTTACAATTTCATTGAAAACTCCTCTTCCTCTCTCTCTCCGTCTGCAGTATTACCATGGGTTTGCCGCTCAACCCACCAGCAGATTCGGCGCGCTCAGCTCGACACGCCCTCTCTCTTATTGCGACTGCCCGGCCGCCAGCCTTCATCACCACCATTGCGAGAGAGGTGAATTCTAAGTGCCAGAAGATTTTGACAGAGATGTATTTCCAGTCGAACCTCGAGTTATGAACTGAAGTGGCTAGCGTATGCCTGTTTGTAACGTGAAACATCATAAACTAAGGCCATGTTTCCCATTGAAATGAATGGCAATGCAATGAATCCGTTCCATTTTCTTTTCTGAAACAAATGTGTTGATATTATTTTCGCAGGTCCATCGATACAATGCAGCCCAGGCCAACTCTCAGTCACAACAGAACGTTCACACCACCACTCTGGCCCGAGCCAAGACTGAAATATTGAGAGTGATTGACATCCTGATCGAGAAGATGCCTGGAGATGTTGTCGACTTGCTCGTTGAGGTAATCATGTTAACAAGAAGCAATAACACTTCAATGTTGCCATGACTACTACCAATAGTAGAGATTCCTTAAGTTCCATTTCCATGATAGAAAGGCACAGCTTTTAAATAAAATAGCATACACCTCCTCCCCATCTCACATGATTGTCTCCTAAGGTGATGGATATCATCATGTACTGTATCGAAGGATCTCTGGTCAAGAAGAAAGGGCTGCAAGAGTGTTTTCCTGCTATTTGCAAGTAAGTGACGAGGGAATAAAGAAACTCCGACACATTTGTTTCACTGTCATGTTCTCAATGTTTGATTATTGGGCAACCGCTTCAGATTCTACATGGTGGGTTACTGCGACCGCAGTCACCGCATTGCTGTCGGCGCTCGACAAGGTTCAGTGGCCCTCTATGATGTTCGCACTGGAAAATGCCAGGTATGGAAATGGAAATCCCCTCCCTTTACCCAAATCTTCAAAAAAATGCTGTAATGCTTCCATGTTTACAACTTCTTCTCTGAGATCTAAGGGCAAAGAAAGAAAAATTGCATGAATGAATTATTGACTATATCTTCTGTTTATGTGGCCTGTTTAATTTATGTCTCTTATTGGAAGCCGGCTGTGTTGTACAAGTCCCGGTGCACGCAGATGGCAGTGATAATTTTGTCTCACATTGTTTCTCCACTGGAATTGTGCATCCATCTGTTTTGACATCACATAAAAGCGCTGAGGGGGAAAGCAATGGAAAAGAGGGATTGGGATGTTCTCTGAAATACGGCAATGGAAACCGAAGACTGAAGTGAAAAGATTGAGGGGGGAAAACGCGATTAAGAGAGTTTGAAAAGAGAGAGATTGGCTTGGAAGGCTGGAAAAAAAAAATCAACGATTTCACCCAACACAACTGGGATCTAATATAAGGGCGAGAACCAGGTAAAAACCGAAGATTTTCATTTCATCGCGGTGTTACATTTTTCTTCCCTACAACCACAGATGGGCTATAATTTCGGGGTCTTTGGCGCCCAAGGCGACGTGCCTTAATCTCATCGAGTGGCGCACATTTCTAATCCCAGACGCAGGCCGTGTCGGGATGGAGATTTCTGCGAGGGCCGTTATTGTGTTACACACCTTTCATCTGTTGGGACACTTTATTTGGTTACCTACGGTGCCGCGTAGCTTTATTTCGCCTCGCCGGTTCTGGCGGCGAATGGCAGCACGCTGCCCCTCACCTGATGGAATTATCTTGCTCAAAGCAAAACACTTAGTGTCAAGAAAAAGCCCAGAGATTTTCTGCTTTGTCGCAATGAAATTTCAACAAGGGCCACCATTTGTTCTTTGTTGTATCTTTATTCACACAAAATACAATTTATCGGCGGGTGAAGTTAAGGCGGCGTGACGGCAACTAAAACCCAAAGAAAGGATTTGTAAACTGCTTCAACAAGTCACTGATTGAGATACTTTCAAGAATACGATGCCCTCTTCTCAAGTGGCTCTCTTCCGAATAGAAGAGTTGACTTTTCGTAACTGCGACTTCCTCTCCATTTCTGTCTAGAATATCCACGGTCATAAGGGTCCAATCACGGCGGTGTCGTTTGCCCCCGACGGCCGTTACCTGGCAACCTACTCCAACGCTGACAGTCACATCTCCTTCTGGCAGGTGAACAAGATGCACCCATTACTTTTTACATGACTCTATTCAATGGCCAATAAGTGATCAATGACCAGCCGGAATGGTCGATACTCCATGAAAATGTTCATAATTGCATGTATAAATAGCTTTTTAAAATGTTTCAAGTGTTGAGTCGTGTGTGGAGCGTCATGTTAGGGATTAGCAAGCGTTGGCCCCTCACCTAATAGCTAGCTGGCTTGAACAGCTACGTGATGGAAGAGTCCAATCGAGGTCTGATAGGCTGGCGAGGCTCCTTGTGGGGTCGATGCTGGAGAAAGCAGAGCAGTAAATTTCTCAAGACGATGCAGAGAAAGGTCCAGACCGCCGTTGGCAGCGGTGGAAGTTATTAGCTGATCGTCTGCCAATGGCTAGCTAGCTTCCAAATGAGAGCATCTCTGTGTCACTGAGTCAAAAACATCATAAAATGGCGAATAAGGCCATAGCAGTTGGTCGATTTAGCTTGCACGAGTGGTGTCTATGATTTCATGTGTGTGTCCTTCTGTCAATGTGCGAGAGATTACAAGAAAATTGTTTCTTGAAAGATTGACCTTTAGTAAAGAGTATTCTTTTGTGGGTGGGGGTGCGGGGAATTGTCCCAATCCAGATGAACACCAGTCTGCTGGGAAGCATCGGCATGTTGAATTCAGCCCCCCAGCTGCGCTGCATTAAGACCTACCAGGTTCCCCCAGTGCAGCCGGCATCTCCCGGCTCCCAGAACCACTTGAAGCTGGCCCGCCTCATCTGGACCTCCAACCGTAATGTCATCCTGATGGCGCATGATGGCAAGGAGCACCGCTTCATGGTTTAAAGGGGATTGGCTTCTTGGAGAAATCGCATCAACGTGGAGCTTTGAGGTTTTGCGGTGAGGCCACGGCGGAAAAGCTAATCGGGACTCTCAAAAGTTTTATTTTCAAAATCATGTAGAATGAGGCTCAGATTGAAGGCTTAAAAGCAAGCGCACCGTTTTAAATAGAAATTATCGGAAGACTTACAGTTAGGAAAGAACGAAGCCACTCTGAATTTAGGTTTATGTGTGTGTGTGTGTGTGTGTGTGTGTGTGTGTGTGTGTGTGTGTGTGTGTGTGTGTGTGTGTGTGTGTGTGTGTGTATATATGAGTGTTTTATCTCCCACAGTGATGCTCATGAATGAATTCACCTGCTAATTTATTTATTGGCTGAAAAACAAGGCTCACGCTCTGATTTATGTTCATGTTGTTTTAGTAATTTATAACTTCTAGTCATTCCTAATGATTTGCTCGTTTTTTTTTTTCCTCCTTCGTCACAGTTGGAGTCAGGAGTGGTCCATGCATTTTTTTTCTCTTTTCTATTTATTTGATGTCAGCCTATGTTACGCTAGCAAATTAGGTGTTATTCATTATATGGAAGTTTTAGGACACCGTTTTATTTTATGACGGGATAAATCATTTCGCTTGACTTCTGTGAGCAAGATATGCTTGCGAGTGGGCGCCATCAAAATAGGGGTTGGGTTTTGATCGCGCATCCGTGTCGTCAGCCGCTGCGTCGGCTATCGTTGCGCCTCCTTTCTGGGAGCAGAAAGGATCAGCTTGTAGAGTGGTCCTTCCTCTCTTAAATTCGGGTTTAAGGTGGCCCCACTTGCTCTGAACGGGGCATGTTAATGTGAATATGAGTTGTCAACACTCGCTCCATGACGATGTCCGCATGCCTGGTGTGAATGAGAAAACATTTATTAGTGTTGCCGTTAATTGCACATTTCACCACGTGCAATCAAAACGTGACGAAGCAGCTCCCTCTTGGAGTCACTTGAAGACATTTACACCACAGCTCCTCGGCCCGCGTTTCAATGTCGGGACTCTTTACATGAACGGACTTTGATTAAATACATTTAACAGCGGGAGTATGAGCTGTGGTCCTGATTTTAAAATAAATAAATAAATACCGCTAGATGTTCAGACATTTCAGATATGCCGTTTTGTCATGCTGATAACACGCTTCCTCCCCTGTCCCCACTTTTCTTCATTCCACGCAATGAAATCCCAACATGTACAGTATTAATATCCAATCTTACATATAATGTCGTCTCGTATGAATCTTGCGCATCTTAGTTGTCTCTTGTGGTGCATGTGACTGGCTGATTCTCCACGTGGCAATGACTTCCTCCGGTCATCCGTGTTCAAGCAAACAAACGTACTCATTTGACGACAGCTTTACAATGAAAAGAGCCTCTCGCCATGTCTCTCGTCAGTTACCAATGTAGCTTTGCGCTTTGCACACTTGCCGCTTAAATGCTGCGACCCTCCAACCTGAAATTGATACAAACAGTGAAAAACAATTGTGATGATTTTAGTTATTTATTTTTGCAAATCATCGTTACCACCCGGACCTTTTTGCTTTGTGATGTTTTGCTTCATGCAGTGTTTTATGGAGAAAGACGTCAATATTTGCGGGGACGTGGATACGATCTATTTCTAAAGTGATTGGGCCTGTGAGTAAATTTGAACTGTCATCTCATTTAGGCAGTGAGAATTTACCTTGGGAAAAGATTTCTGGTAGTGTTTACCAGTTCCACCTCCACTCTCCCGACACTCCTTGGTTTCCGCCCTCTGTTTTCAGTCAGTTTTCCCGTGGTGGTGTCAGAAAGCTTCTAACACTGATGCACACCTGTAAACACAAGTGTCAAAGCTTTTCACAAGTTTCGTGTCAGTTTAGATCCAAAAAAAAAAGAAAAAGAAAATCCAGTAGCTCATCAGGCTGCTCTTGAGACTTCCTCACTGGCGACAAAAAGTGTGCACACCGCTTTTTTGAATGTTTTGCGATTAATTAAAAACAAAAAAAAAAAAGAGAGAGAGAGAGCGACTGGGTGCAGGGGGGTCCACAGTATACTGTAGAACGTTTCCAAATCTTTTCCACTATTAATCTGACCCATCACCTTTACAGGTAAATAGAGAAGCAAAAATATACTTTTTTGGGGGGGCGGGGGACAATTTTTTTTAGATCACAATCTGGCATTTGAACAGGGGTGTGTAGACTTTTTATATCCATCGTAATTCCAGAGGGCATTGAGATCCTCATCATGGTTTTTCTCCAGCATACTCAAAGCTTTGGAAAAAAGCCTTTTCTTTTTCCTTTTTATTTTTTTTTTGCCTCTCTGGGGACAGAAGGTGAGAAAACGAAGGCAAAGAGGAAGAGCTGAAGAGTAAGTAACAAGTGAGGAGGATCAGTCATCCAAAAAAAAAAAAAAGTGGAAACATTTCTTGATGGAGGAAGTGAACCGAAGTCGCCTCACGGTGGCATGATGCAATGCGGTAGAAGCCTTCCGGTTGGCATCACGTGACATCACATCACCTTATTTCCACTCAACCGGATTACAATGGCAAATGTTGACAAAGGCGACGCACATTTTCCATCCATTTTACCAACTTTTTTTTCTCTGTGCCGCAGCATCCTCATCTTCAAATCAATTGTCAGGGGAAAAAAAATATGACATTCCCAAAACATGTCTCTCTCCTTCCCTTTTTCAAATGAATTCTGGTAGAATGCAGTAAATTGCAATCACCTCCACTCAAGAGGTTTTTAAATAATCAGTTTTATTAACTCTGCCTCAGTTGCCGGAAGACAAACGTACGATCAAGGGCGGACTCGTCCTGGAGCGTTGTATGATATTCTGTGGCGGTGTGTTGAATGTGCAGCGTGTTGTGCTCATGTGGAGTCGTGCTAGTAACTTGCGTGTATCGTGCTTGCATGCGGCCTCTCTGAAACACAGTTTGAATCCACCGTGTATCGAATCATTGTGTTGTGGTAAGCTGTGTTCTTGTTTTCACCGTGTGACTAATAAAGATGGAACCGCGACAGACTTGTTTTTGCATCACTTATATCCTTCCTACATGCGGCTCACTCATGAATCACGATTAATTTTTTTTGATTCTTTTTTTTTCTTCTGATTCTAGACTAATGAAGTGTCTGTAGTCCATTGTTTTGTTTTTTCTTTTTTAAAAAAGACTACTCTCGGTTAGCCCAGCAATCGACGTTCAATAGCATGCTTTAAGTAACGGCTGCATTATTGTATTTTCCTGAGGTTTTCAAAAATAAATCTCTTGTGAAAAATTACTGGTTGGGAAATATAAACAAACCCCGATGAGTTAGGCTCGCTATCCGTGCGCAGGCAAGTGTCAACATGTATTGATTAGTGCACAAGTGTATCTGCTCCATCACGCAGGCCTTCGATGAACAACACAAAAGTGAGTGGAGACAAGATGTCGGGACTCTTGACTGTAAAGGGTGTTAAATGAAAAAAAGGTCGCAAGGTCAGTGTTCCTCATCACACCGTCACGTCTTCCACCGCTGAGAAGGTTTCGCCCGTGATCGGCAAGCACTCGATGACCTTTTGTTCTGCCGCCAAGCCCGAACCTTTCGCTACTCTCAAGAAAAAATTTGCGGGATCTTGAACTTCTCTCGGTGGGACTCAAAACAGGCTTTTGGTTCTAATCCAAAAGATGAGTTGCTTCAGTGTGTGTCTTTTTCAGTTATTGACGTTCCCAAAGTTTCAGCCTTCCAAATATTTTTTTTTGTGGAGATAAAAAGATTAGCAAAGGATATCCTGCTAATCGATACTCTATCTTACAAAATATTGATGCTTTACCGGCGTTTTGATGGGTTACGTTTGTTTTTGGAACACAGATTTGTGTGGTGAAAAACATTTGCATATGAGGTCAACAAAATATTCTTCGGACTGTTGCTAAAGTAAGCGCTTCTGAAGTAAGATTTGAGTTTATAACCCGTTTATAGCTCATTTATAAAAAGGCCAAAAAACAAACAAACAAAAAAAAGAATCGTTCCCATTTGAAGAACAAACATGGAGACCTTTATAGCTACAAACTATTTTAAAAGTGCCGCGCTTCCTAATCTGCCATTCTCAGCGCCTCCTGACCCATCTCAACATGGCAGCCAGTTGTCTTTAATCCTGAGAAAGAATCCGTGCATACTTAAACGTGAGACAAAGTCCTCGTGTGTCAACATTTAAAACGAATGCGAAAGAAAGTCGATGTTAAGTGCCGGGCGAGAAGGAGATCAAAAGGAGACCATATGTGTGTTTAGCGCCGACAAGCTCGGAGTTTGTTCCTCAAGTTGGCGAGGAGGAAGAGAAAAGTGGAGCGCGAGGAAGAACAGAGGAGAGAAGTGGAGCGGGTGGGCTTTAGATTTCGATTAGTTAAGAGCAGAGCGGCTGTGATTCTGCTCAGCTGGAAAGCAAAAGTATCGACGCGGAGTCAGAGAGCCTCTGCTTCCCTCCCCTTTAGTCCCTCAGGTGGGCATTAAAACCGAGCCGAGCGATGGAGGATGGACGGGCGGAAACCCCCCCCGAGAGACCGGCCGCAGCTTTGATTCGCCGAGGTTTCTCACGTCAACTGCCGGGACGACGGGGGCCGCGGCCTTCTTTTAAAACCGCCGCGCCCTCCAAAATTAATCGCCGCCGCTTTACTTTTCAATTATCAATCCGTGTGTTGAGCCACGCTGCAGCTTATCGTGGGCTTAACGTTACTAACAGCGTTTAAGGTGCTGGAGTTTGCTGGGGGGGGATGACGCTTCTTTTTTGTGCTTCGGAAGACATTTGGGCGCTCCTTCCGTGTCATGATTATGGCCTGCGAGACCAGAAATGATGCAGTCGTGTTTCAAGTCTTTTGATGCAAAGGCCGGGTGAAATTGAAAGGAGCGGGGATGGGAGGTTTGCCCTTTTTTGAACAGCCTTCCTTGACACGCGTTCTTGTACCCCCTGGGGGGCAGGTCTGTGACCCGGGACCTGCTCATTATACATCGGCACATCCTGTACAAAATGGGGCCTCGATGGCCCCACTTGTGTTTTTTCCACCAATTATTTTAGGTCGATATTAACAGTTATGACAA